TGGTCTGACTTTTTTTAAAATGGAAAAACCTGACATTTTAACAGGGGTGTGTAGACTTTCTATATCCACTGTATGTCCAGGTAGTTTCTATGGCAACAGCATGGAACTGGTTTGCCATTGACTTCTTTGGGGACTTCCTCATCATCTCATTAGCAGCTACAGGTAATCCTTGACTTACGATGAGCCTGAAATTTACGTTGCCTAGCAAGAAATTTGTTAAGTAAATTTTGTCCCATTTGATGACTTTTCTTGCCATAATTGTTAAGTGAATCTGGATTCCCCATTGACTTTGCTTGTCAAAATGTTGCAAAAGATGATCACATGACCTTGGGACACTGCAATTGTCATAAATATGAGTCAATTGCCAAGCGCCTGAATTTTCACATGACCATGGAGATGCTGCAATGGTCATAAGGATGAACATTGGTCATAAGCCACTTTTTTCAGTGCTGTTGTAATTTTGAATGGTCACTCAATGAACTGTTGCAAATTGAGGACCATCTCCAACTCATCCTACTGATGAGGTAATATTTGAGTTTTATTAAATTTCAAGTGCATGTGTGCTTGTCCCAAATTCCCTGAGAGCATATCCTGTTCCCATCCCATAAGAAGGTCTTTTCAATTGCCAAAAGTACAGTGGCCACTTGGCTAACAAAGCCATGTATGGTGATGACAGAGGACCCTGCAAGGAGGCGCGGACTTCTCTAGATCCTTTTCTTTACAGGGTGGGGCATAACCTTTTCCTAGGGGGTCACAGCAACACTTGTAATAACAACACAAATAATTCATACACCATTCGAAAGCCCATCAAAAACTGAGTTTATTGACACGATTTAATAGTCAGTATGACCACCATTAGCCCTTCGAACAGCATTCAAACGAGGTGCCTCTCGAAAGGCAATGCATTTTATTCTGTCAATGATCCTTTGTTCTTCCGAATCGAATTTTCCAGCCATTCTTAAAGCAAATTTAACATTTAATAGCTCATTCAATTCAGTTTTTTATGGGCTTTAAAATGAGGTGTCGCAGAAGTTGTAAACTGCTGTCGATCTTGCTGTGACCCCCTAGGAAAAGGTTATGCCCCGCCCTAGAATTGCAAAATAATGACTGTTTGAAGATTTGTTGTGTTCTTATCCACCTCGTTTGAATGCTGTTCGAAGGGCTAATGGTGGTCATACTGACTATTAAATCGTGTCAATAAACTCAGTTTTTGATGGGCTTTCGAATGGTGTATGAATTATTTGTGTTGTTATTACAAGTGTTGCTGTGACCCCCTAGGAAAAGGTTATGCCCCGCCCTGTAGTTGGAATTACAGGTAGTCCTTGATTTACAGCAGTTCATTTAATGACCATTCAAAGTTACAACAGCACCGAAAAAAGTTGTGAGCATTTTTCAGAGTTACGACCTTTGAAGCATCCCCATGATCATCTGATCAAAATTCGGAAACTTCGCAACTTGGATGTATTCACGACCATTACTAAAGTCATGTGATCCCCTTTTGCAAACTTCTGATCAGCAAACTCAATGCTTTGCCAGATTCACTTAACATCTGGGTTACTAACTTATCAACTGTAGTGATTCACTTACCAACTGTGGGGAAAAAGGTCGTAAAATGGGGCAAAACTCACTTAACAAATGTCTCACACAGAAATGTTGGGCTCAGTTGTGGTCATAACTTGAGGACTATCTGTACGGGGGGTGGTGGTGGTGGAAGGATGATGACAAACAAATCTGGATCCGATTACAACAGATAGATTAGTCCACAGAATTTGAAAGAAGTTGGAAGGGAGTTTGGAGGTCATCTAGTCCAACTCTCTCTCCCCAAGCATACCATCTATTTAATTCATGAGTGCTTCAGGTGGTTGGATGGGAGCTGGCTTGCAGTCTGTGCGAGTCAGCATCTCATAAGCAGCGCAGCGGGAAGGCAGACCACAGTTCCCGATCGCTTCCATTTTCACGCTTTGCACCTCTGACCGTTTGGATCAACTTGTTCACCCGCTTTAGATCCAGAGGGTGGGATCCCACTAAGTGATCGCGCAGCACCGCCACTGCTCGTTCACTTTTAGGGCGGGAAAGTATGGAAAAATGCATTTGTGGCTCCTGCCGCCGCCCCGAGGCAAGAATTGTGCCGCCGTCAAGCTGCCCCCTTTGCCCACAGCACCCTTCCCCGCTGGCGCAGGAACAAACAGCAGCCCAGCGAGCTTCACTCTTTCTCCGAGCAAGAAAGCGAGCGAAAGTGGCAATTTGGTCAACAAACGGCGGGGATTTTAGACCGCGATCTACTCCTCGACAACCATGGCAACGGCGCCTCAGAATCACACCCGCCATCGCTTTCTCTCTCGCTGGGGCAGCGGCGAGGAGGGATGGGGTCCAGGACACTTTCTGTCGAAAGCTGACGCGGAATGCAAAAAAGCCCGGGTGCCGGACATACAAGCCGCCCCAGAGCAGGAATAGCCCGTGTAACACGTCATGGGTCCCCACTAAGGAAATTTCAACCCAATAGGTCTTCTCTTTACCTGGCCCCAGGCATCTCTTCTCAACTTCGTCAAAAAAACGGCGTCGACAATTTTAGGCCTTGATCTACTCCCAGGTCGCCATGGCAACAGCGCCTAACCTGCGAGCGGAGCTTTATGGGAATTGCAGTTCTTTATGGGAATTGTAAGAGAAATCTTTCGCCACCAGTGAAACTGCGGGGCTTACTTTTTTCCTTTGCGTAACTCATAATCCTGCCTCGCCCAAAGTTGTTAACGGGTTACAATCGATAATACCGCACAGATAATACTGAAGGATTTGTAAAATGCGGGTCATTAAAGTTTGATCAGCGTAGAATTTATGATCGTTAGGGGAAAATGTTCTGATAACACGCCCTGCAGAAATTTATCTTTAATCAGAATAGAATTAGAAGGGACCTTGAAGGTCTTTCTAGTGTTCCTCCCGCTCTCCCCTCGCTCAACCAGGAGAACTATATCGTTTCAGACAAGTAACTGTCCGGTCTCTACTTAAAAACATCCAGTGATGAAGCACCCACAAGTTCTGAAGGCAAATTGTTCCACTAGTTAATTGTCCTGTTATCAAGTTTCTCCTTAATTCCAGGTTGCTTCTCTCTTTGACTAGTTTCCAACCATTGTTTATTGCCTTGCCTTTTGGTACTTTGGAAAATAAGTTGACCCCCTCTTCTTTGTGGCACCCTCTATACTGGAATACTACTGGGATATTGCATGTTCTGCTTTCAGGATTATTCTGTTTCTTTCTGAACCTCTGAAAGCCTGTCAAGCAAGCCACTCCCTAGAAATTGTTATACCTGATTGTTTCTTGTGAGTTTTTAAAGTTGTGTAGTGCAGCACTCTGCAATCAATCTGGAAGCAAACCTTTTGGATTTACTTGCTCAAATGAACAGAATCAATTACCCCTAAAGCCAATCTGTGAAATATTTAGGCTGGACAATACATTGATGAAGATTCTCAATCATCTAGGTAAAGTTGTCTGGAAGCTGAGTCATGGCAACAGGACTACTTTTTTTGTTTTGTTTTGAGCTTTTTGCTGTTTATCCAAGAAGCCATTTGGGTAAGGAGTGAAATGTTTCAATTAAAAAAAAAGTCCAGTCGCTGGATAGTATGGTTTAAATGCTTCAAATAAGTAAAAGGGGAAAGAACAATGAGAACAATAATATTTTGACTAAATAATTCTCTAAAGCAGTGCTTCTCAAACTTGACAACTTTAATGGACATCAACTCCCAAAATTTCCCAGCTGGTCAAAGGAAATAAAATATTTTAAAAGTTGCCAAGTTTGAAAAACGCTGCTCTAAAATATGGTGTGCTATCTAACCCTGAATATACATGACAAAATACAGACTTCTTCCTCATTCATTTTATTAAAATGGTTTACAGTTATATAAAAATACCTTATACAAAACAATAACTAGATTAAATAAATATATTCTAATATAAATTAACATTTTGTTAATTTTAAGGACAATTTGAAATAACAGAGCCTTTAAAGTATTTCTTGATTAAGTTTATAAATTCCATAAAATTTCAGTTTTCATTATTTTGGGATGGGGCTCATATTTAACATTTGAAGATAAATGTTATGTATGGCTAGTTGTACCAGTATACATATAGATAGGATGCATCTAGAGCAATATATAGGGACAGATGTACATTCAGATGTGCAATTTAGTTTAAACTTACAGTTTCCTACAGTAGTGAATGTTGCACACAGTAAGCTGTTTCTGCATAAACATATCTTTTACAGAAAGTGAGAATAATGGTTGCAAACATGTCTTTTTAAATAAAAATGTACAGTAAATGAAATATGATTATACATAGCCTCTATGAGTATCAGAGTACCATTATTAATTTTACAGGGAGACTGCAGCAAATATAGAGCTATGTTGGGCTCTTACCCAAGTACCTTGAAAATTAAAAAAAACAGGTAAAAAGGTGGTAGAATTTTATATAGTTTTTATTTTCCAGCATGAAAATGAATCTGCTAATTAAATGTAATGAACTTGCTTTGGAAAATGCTGGTCCCACTTCTAAAGTCTAAAAAGACTTCAAAAATAAATTTTCCAAAATTTGTCCTAACTAGCAGCATAGTATGTCAGAAACCCTACATATACAGATTTGCAGAAATTTATTTATAGACGTGCTAGTTGGTTATACAACTATAGTTTCTTTTAAATCAGTACTTTCTTTTTTAACAAAGGGAGAAATTTTGCAGAAGTGATGAACTGTGTGAAGTGAGAAATAGTTCCTAGGCTGTAATCATTTGTAATATCCTCTAGAGCCGGGATGGTGAACCTATGGCACATGGAGCCATTTGTCAGGGCACGTGAGGCGTTGCCCTGTCAGCTGGCCAGCGAGCATGCACATGCTGGCCAGCTGAATTCAGCCATTCTTAAAGCCATTTTTCGCCCTCCCCAGGCTCCAAAGGCTTTATAGGAGGAGTTTTGTTCAAAGTTTTGATATATATTTATCAACATTCAAACACTGCATTCATATATATGAGAATATAAGTGGGCAAAATTATTTTAATAAATAATAAACAAGAGTGATAAATGGTTTTGTAAACTTGTAAAAAATAAATAACAGATCTGTGAATTGCCTTATGAGTCAAAATTAAATCAGTTTGGCGAGGTGTACGTTGACTAGTAGATCCTACAGCCAGCTTTTCGAATGAGTAAAGTAGATTGGCAAAGATTTACTAATAGTGAAAACAAAATAATCTCTCCCTTCCGTACTCTACACCTCTTCATCTGATTATCTACTACACAAATGAAAAATGGAATGGTAATAATCAAGAATTGAAATTTTTTTTATCAGATATCTTGAATTCAAAGTGTACTTTTTTACATTGCTGATTTAAACTGTAAATAATTGTACATGTATTCCTGTTCTCTTAACTAATATTATACTACTCAGAGAGAATTGTCTTTTGTTTAACAGTATTGCTTAAAAATTCAATTAATTTATGAGCAACACTGTTTAAAGCCTAAAATACCTTCATACATATATGTTCATTACTAAATGATATAACATTTTGCTAACTTGCATGTGTAACAATTGAATAGTATTTTATATTACCATCAACAGATATTGTCCCTAAAGCAAGATTTCTATCCTGAGAGTTGCAAGCCAATAAAATAGAGCAGAAAAAAAAATGGTGGATAGAGATCTGTTTGAAAGTACCAGAATGAAAAGATTTTTATGAAGTTTTATCAGGTATTTAAATTCTAAACAGGTTTCTCAATAAGTAGTTTATAAGGTTATGTCTAGATCAATTAAGACTGAAAGCACACATCTTTCACCCTATAAATGAGTTATTGTATATATACTATATTCACATATCATTCCAAGATGTAATTACTTGCAAGTAGGATCAGTGAATAAACCATTAACTTGTTTTAGAGAAGTAAACTACAGATTGAAACAACTATTTGCTGTTGGCTTAATCATTATAACTATGAGTCATGGAAGGCTTCCCACAATCTGAGTTATTCCTAATATGTTTTTTGCCTTGCCAAGCACTTAACTTATCTACATAGATCTATTATAAGTGCAGTTAAATGAGGAGAAACAAACTATGACCTGGTCTTACTATACTCATTGCAAGAATTCTGTCATATTTTACAAGAGATGGTTTAGCATGATATGTGGATACAGTCACATTTTTCAAAGTTTTAAATCTAGGAGCGATTTAGAAAAAACTCAAGAGTTTAGAAGAAAAGGAGGAAAGCAGAGGCTTTGTATGAATCTTTGTATTTAAAGATCATTATTATTTCTCCAACTTCTGATTATTTTTAGTTACCCAATTCACAGTGTTTATTCAGAATAATTCTATTTGTATTACCATATATGCTATATATATTATTTTGTACTTTGTATATTATAATAATTATGAAGAAAAATGCAATTTCTTATGTACCGCAGCTTTCACCTTGAATAGGACTATTACTTCTAGGGTGCAAAAATCCAGCTACTAAGGCAAAAAAAGATCATTCTTCTATATTTTTACTGTCATCCAGGAGACATCTGAATTTTTATAGTTCATATCTGAGAGTCCCAAGCTTAACAGAAGAATAAATGTGCAAGAAATATTGTTAATTTCTAATTTACAACAGACTGTCCTTTCAAAATAATAACCTAATATAAACGACATATATTCATAGATACTTGAACTTTTCATAATAAAGTAGGTCCTTTGGTGGGTCTGTTTTGCAGTAAAAATGAATGACATTCTATATCATTAGATTTTGGATTTCTTGATTGTGGAGCAGAAAATTCATGAACTGTCTTCTTCTGTTGATGGAAATTGTTAATATAGCTGGCAATAAGTAGAGTAATCTCAAGGATCTGAAACAAAATGCATGCAGTTAATAGTAATGATACATTTAGAACACCTTTAATTGAACTAATTGTCTAATTGAACCACACTGAATGGGGAGCACAAAGTAGAGTGTGTCTTAAAGTTCCAATTCAACGCTTTCTCCAATGCGTTGATAATATTGTTGTCAAAGTGTATCCATCAATCAAAGGATATGAAGGAGGGGATATGGTGCCTTTGCACTAGTTGATGTAACTAGCTACAGAAATGGTATCAGCTTTTCTTGTTGTAAATGCCTCCACCCATTTGGAAAACATGCTTTTGCATTTTGAAAATGATATTTCAATAAAGATGAGGAAATACTGTTATAGGTCAAAAGGATTTTTACAATACTGTAAGGGAGAAGACAACTCAGAATCTATCTGACTGAGGTTATTTTCCTAAACATTCTTGATTCTCTCTTCTCATTTTACTTCATATATTGCTTTCATAACCATTGTAGCCAATCACAAAATATAGATTTAATAAAAGACTAGTTCTAGTCCTTCCTGCATGCTTTTTACAATCCTTCCACTTACCTTTACATTTTGTTTAGGATTAGTTACAGCTATCTAGAGACGTTCTTGAAAATAAAAATGGTGCCAGTCGTTTATTTTAAACCATGCCAACCTTACATGTTAGATGAAAAGCATTTTGAAAAACAAAACTTAAAAGTTAATTAAGCAGGGAGATTTTTATGAGTGTTAGATGTCTACTTTTGTTCTATATATGCAATGTTATTTAAAGCTGGTAAACAATTTTGGTTAATATACTAACCTTTGGTTTGGCAAAAGTAAACAAGAGTTTTTCAGTATGCTTCTCTTCTGTACTTATGTTGTTTATCACCAGCATAAAGTCTTCTTGATAACCTCCAAAGGTCACTAGGTTCTTATATAAATACGTCATTATTAACCGCTTAGAAGTCCAAAGAAATGATGTTCCATGAAAGAGAGGGAAAAGAAATAAAGAGAGAAAATAATGTCTATTTATTTTCATAGGCATGGCTTTGAACTCAGGAGTTAGTTCAATTACTAGCATTTAGAATGAAAAGCAGAGAGGCAATAACTAATTAAATTCAGCCCTTTTGATTTTAATTAACTATGTTAAACTCTAAATCCATTCCAATGAGACTTATTTTTTAGAACAAGTATTTGACATTAGTCTAAGACATACTTTCTACAAATAACCCTTTGTAATGGGGTGTGAGAATAAGCTTGTAGAATAGGAGGAAGAGCCATAGCCAAAACAATGGTTAGATAAGAACAATCTTAGTCCAAAGCAGAAATACAATGTGAGAAAACATCTCAGACTTAACCCTGAGTTCTCTGTAGGGTAAAGGGAGGTGGTTGGTCACATTCATACATGCAAGATATTGTAATACAGCATATATTAGCATTCATATGTTAGGGTTCCTTGTCTGGTCTACCTCAAAGGACTGACAACAATATTGCAAATCTGAATTTCCCTCCCCCTTTATATCAAAAATTGTAATTGCCATATTAGTACTAGTTTAAAAAAAAAGCAAGAATATTTTCTAATAGTGACAATCTACCATATTTTTTGGAGTATAAGACACGTATAATAAAATGAGTAAAAATACTGCAGTAAAACTGTTGTTATTGATGGATTGATCTTCATTAAAAGGCCTCTTGAAAAGTACAGTTTTCATTATTTTAAATACTGTATTTTTCGGTGTATAAGACACACCTTTTCCCCCAAAAAGGAGGGTGAAATTCTGGGTGTGTCTTATACACTGAATACAGCATTTTTGGCCTCCCAAAACCCCTCCCCTTCACAAAAATGGACGTGCATAGCCTTTAGGACACTTGTAGAGTGCTCCTGGGGGCTGGGGAGAGCAAAAATGAGTGAAAAACGGGCTGTTTTTTGCTTGTTTCCCCCCCCCGCCCCCAGGAGTACTCTACAAGCTTCCTAAAGACTTGCCCTTTTGGGGGGAAGAAATGGGCTGTTTTTTGCCCCCCCTTCCTGCAGCACACAGGAACACTTTGCAGGCCTCTCAAACTCTCTACATGCTCGTTTTTCACAAAAAATGAGGTATCAGAGGGTTTGGGAGGTCTGCAGCATGCAAAAACTTTTAAAAAAAATTTACCTCTTCAAAATCTTGGTGTGTCTTATAATCCTGTGTGTTTATATTCCAAAAAATATGGTAAATCAACCACAACCAGTTGTACAGGATGCTTCCTTTAGCACACAGTTATAAGTGTGCTGAATTCTGATTTTATATAAGCTGGTCTAATATTGTAAATAACCTCTTCATTTGTATATAAACCTTTTCATTTGTGTTTAAAGCATACAAACTATTTCTTCCTTACCATGGAGTTGTATTCAAGAATATTAATACCATTTTCAGAAACAGCAAGCCATATCAAAGTACTCTCTGGTGTGGATGCTGTCAAAAGCTAAAAACAAATGAACAACAACAAAAGAAATATACATATAGTACCTACTTAACTGCAGTTATGACATTATATATATTAACAAACTGTTCTACATTTTAAATTAATAACAAATAATGAACAATTCCATAAAAAGAAACTACCTGAAGGTAAATATATTGGTGTTTCCTCTGGAAATACAAACAAGAGACATGGTGCATTCCCCTTTTCTGGATGTATTCAGGCAGAGACTAGCTAATTACTTGTCACAAATGCTCAAATTTGGATTTTTGCCTCAGTAACCTCAATGGCTTATTCCAACTCTGCTTTTATTACAATCAGATTTTCCTGCTTTTGGACTATTCTATTATGCTCAAACATAAAGTGATATCAAAACAATTAGGTTCTTGGCATTTTACTCTAATCATAACAATGTAGTGTCTGTCTATCATCTATCTATCTATCATCTAGATAGATAGATAGATAGATAGATAGATAGATAGATAGATAGATAGATAGATAGATAGATAAGGTAAGAAAGCCTGTGCAGTGTATTGATTTAGAAGTAGCCAGAAACTGGGAGGCTATAGCTTTTCACTCCCATCTTAGGTACAAAGATAATTGGGTGACATTCGGCTAGTCCAGTGCTGGCGAATCTTTTTTGGCTCGTGTGTCAAAAGCGGGAGCGCAGGGGGGGGGTCGTGCGTGGGCGTGCCACACCCATAATTCAATGCACGACTCCAGCACGCATGACCAGCGCTCCCCATTTTTTGCATGCTAACCCTAACCCTCCCCAGGCTTCAGAGGCTTTATAGGAGTCTGGGGAGGGTGAAAATTATTAAATTATTAAGCTAATTTTAGTAATAGCTGGAGGGCAACAAGATTACCTGAGAGATCCTTCAAGCAACAAAGTGCAGAGAAAAGTCTATAAAAACCTTATAAAGAGATAAAAAGAAGACTGACACCACAATTGGAAAGAGAGATAAGACTGTTTTGTTACTGGAAAGATACAGGTTGACAATGAAAGTTGATAATAAAAAATTAGTTGATTTTGGTGATCAATAAGTAGGAATTTAGTAATTCTTAAGATTGTTTTAGATTGTTATTAAATGTTTATTCGTTAACAAATAACTATAATAACAATAATGAAATGATAATGGATACAACTTAATAATATATACATGTACTGGCAAACTAGTAAAAGAAATTTGGATATAAATTGAAAATTGTGATCTAGGAAAAAGACCTATCATTAACAAATGACCTTTTATTAACAAATTTTTATTTAGATCTCATCATAAAGGTGTAAGGTTTTTTTTTCTTTGGGTCTGACGAGAGGAGATGGGATATAAATAGTAAATGATTTTTAGCCAATTATAATAACAAAAAGGAAATGTTAATGGATATTGTTTAATAATATATACATGCTCTGGTATTGGCAAAAGCAACTTGGCTACAAATTCTAAACAGCGAATTGGGGGGGGGGAGGTTTAGAAACTTTATTAATTGACTTTTACTTAGAAGATGTCATAAAGGGGTAATGTTATTGGAGGATTTTTTGAAATAGCTAATGAATGCCATTATGTGGTTGTGTCTTTAAGTATGAATGACTTGAGGTAAAAACATGTTCAAATAATTGTAGTCAAATGAGAATTGTGATACATTGATAGTAAGATATACAAAGATTTTGGATTTAAAGTGTATAATCTAATATGAACTATAAGTAATGACTGTGAAGGAAATGCACAAAAGTTACCTGTAACCAATCGCTTTCTACAAGATGTAATGAAGGATGATTCTTTTTTTGTGTTTTTGTTTAATTAAAATTTAAAAAAACTTCAAAAAAAAAAAGATCATGGCAGCAGTTGTATTCTACACTGGTTAGATTGAACTTTGCAATTAAATACTTTCCCTAGAATAATGATGGACTCGCCCTCACTGGAAGTTTTCCAGTGTGGATGGCCATTCCTGAATTGATTAAAGTGTTGATGCTATTATCATGATCCTTACTAGTTGAATATTTCCTGCTCCATTCAATGCATTTATAAAACCCATATAAGATATTAATAACTAAATGCTTTAAGTATTTTAATGACAAGAGTAGAAAGTGCAAGGAAGCAGTGTACAGGCAAAGATTTTTTTTTTCTGGTGAAGAAGAAAGTGAACCAATATTTTTCTTACTTTTGCTGCAAACAGCTTGGCACCAAAGAGAGGCCACTTCCGTACCACAGCAAGGTAAATACGCACACAATCTACAGCAGTATGCCCACGAAGAGCCATCCATTTGGTTGATAATCTCTGGTAAAGCTGTCTTTTAACATGAAGTATAAGGAGAAAAATATAAAATAAAACAATATGGGATGAAATGAATTATTATTTGACTGTTATGAAATGAAGTACAATATGTATATGTATATACAGTGTCTATGTCTATATATAAAATAGGTGGTATTGTTTTGTAACTTTTGGAATTTTGGATTTAATGTGATTGTGGTATGAGATAATTTCCAGCCTACTGGCAATACAAATGGAAAACATATCTGTATGATGAGAAAATGGAGCAGATAGTAACATGTACAGTACTCTCCCAGTATACAATATATGTCTTATGGTTTGATACACAAAATTATTTCTTTTACCATTGTATATTCTGAGATTTCAGGCAACAACTACAATAATTAATTACCATAATAAATATAAATATTAAATAAAACAATAGTGTACATTTAATTTGGGTGTTAATCACATGTTTTGAAATAATTTATCCAACTTTTCTAGTCTCTGTCTAAGAAATAAAAACAGGACTTTATGTAATTCTATTTGCAGCTTTTTAAAAAATATAAATATTAGTAACATACCTTAACTGTTCTTCTGAACAATTATCTCTGTATCTTTTGGGGTAAAATTTCTCTACAACTTGTTTTAAAGTTTGATTAGATTTTGACAGGGAAGTTACTTGACCTGCTGGAGTTGAGAAAGGTCTTTCAAAATCTCCTATTTCCACCTGGTGGATAAGCAACATAAGATAAAAATAGTGAACAAAAAAGTTATTACAAAAGCATTTTAGTACCTCAGCATACTTAAGCATCTACAATCTAATATCTATAATGTAATGTGTATATTCTCAGTAATCTTTTCTAATTGTTGTAAATTCATGTCTTATTTTTAGAAGCTGAAAGTTTTAGATGCAGAAATTATAAGTGACAGTAGGATTAACTATAAACATTTGGTGTTTGTGGTGTTGTGTTGTTTTGTGTGAACAGTAACCATCATTTTCTTTAAGTAGAATGAAACACAGATGAAAGCACTACATTATTCTTCTGCTCTTGGACTATATAAGACAGAATGCTGCTTTCAAACCGAACAAACACTGAATTTGTGATATGGATCACCAGATGTTGATATATTGCATATCCATAGAGAAACACTCCTAGGCCATTTATATTGTGACCATATAGTTCAAACACGATCAGCAATCAAGAGATACTGATCTGGATATGGACTTAAATATACTTCTATTCATACCAATGTTCAGTCTGGATCATCTCTACCCCTCCAGTTATTTTTGAAATAAAATTTTCCCTTTAAGGCAAATTATGTCTGTTTTTAAGCCATTTTCCATTATTTCATAAGACACTGATATATTTCATCATTATTAAATGGGATTCAAATGCATCACAAAAAGTTAATTTATGGCATGGTAATGTTTCTACATTAAAAGTATTCTGTAAAAAAACACTTTTTCTTCTTAATCACAGTATTTCGCTATTTTGAAAACACCATTTCTCCCTCTGTTTAAAAACAGTCTAAAAAGTTTAGTACTCCCCATAGACTAGTAAAGCACGCCTTAAAATAATAAAAAGGAGGTTGTTTTTCTTATCAAACTGTCCTTCCCATTTCCTGAACCTTTTTCTTTTTGTTTGCCTAACATATTTTTCTAATGTATACCTCTCATTTTGGCTAGAATTGACACATACCCTAAACATTAAAAACTAAATTAACACAAAATATACATAAAGCATACTTTATAAAAAGCAAGGTGTCAATTTTAGAGTCTCTAGAATTGGAGTAGCATATAAACTAGTAATAAAAAATAAACATTATGTGGGCCTGGACAACTCTTAATAAAGGTAGCAAATTTGGAAAATGTTGCTTAGCATTAACATTAAAACCTATCATTTGGAAATATATTTGAAGATCAATTCACCAGCATCATTGTTTTACTTCTACAGTTTGGCTACTACTAGAAAATAAAATGTTGAATTTCACCGATTTGATAAGGCTTTGATTCAGATTAAAAAAGAATTATTCCAAGCATAAGGCCTAGAAAATAAGAATAACTGATTTATCTATGCTTTATTATATCATAAAGGAAATCTACATTAAAGGCAGACAACTGGAAAATCACAAACATAATTACCTGGGCCAGAAGTGCTGCCAATTCTAGTGCCAGATCTTTATTTACAGGGAAGAACCCATTTATAATTTGATCATTTGTCTGATACATTAAGAGTAGCTTTTCTCTTTCTGTCTCTCCCCGGATTTGTACTGAAAAATAGAGCCTGTGAAAGAAAACAGTGATATGTTAAATGCTGATAATCACATAGTATGTGCAGTATGTGCAGGGAATAAATTATAAGGTACTGAAATATATATAAAGTCAGTTCTAGTAATACACATTTTAAAGACTACTAAAAAGAAGTCTGATCATTTTTAGACTGAATTGATGTAAAATTATGCCCTTTGTCGAAATATCAAAAGAGATAAATTTTAAGACACAATGCAATGCAATGAAAGAAACATTTTTAATGTGATATTCACATAGGCTCTAGCTAAATGTCAGTATTATAAAACTTTTATAGGAAAAGAAAATATAAGGTAGCCATGCAGCAGGAAAATCACAAGAAATAAGGCAAGGAGATAAAAAAGGCAACCAAGACAAGGCTAAGATAATAATCTGAATTTCCACGTTCAGCAGGAAATCTCCTTTCTCAGAACACAAGACCAGAAGACTGTAAACAGGAGGACCAGTTTCTATTTGTTTCTCCTTGGTGCACTACCATTTTTGCCTACAAGTTGCTTTCAATGTGGAAATGATCTTCTCCAATGGAATCCAATTAAGCCGGTACCTTTAGTTTCCTCTTTCTGAATTTTTGCACATTCTTATTAGGAGATATGCAAGCTAAGAAAGGAGGATTCTGGTGGATCTTCCTAGATCTTTTGACCTGTTTCTTCCCTTCTAGTTTTTCAAAGAGAAAAAGAGATAAGAGATCAGAAATATAATGCACTTTGAACGTGCATCTTTTAACATTTTAATAACTAGTGTTATTGCCGAAAGCCTGATCAAAGGCAGGTAAGCAGTCAAGAATCTTAAAAAGTAGGTTCATGCAGAAAACAAGATATAAATCTATTCTAAAGTGCAAAGTTTTATAGGAATAGAAGATAGATAGAAATTCATTATCTTATACCTATTTTTGTAAGTAAGCCTAACTGTTCTTGTGCCGTCACATTTTCCTGGATGCTGCTCTTTAGAGGCTTGCTCCCATCTAGAAATAATGTCACAGATCTAGAAGGAAAGCCATGAATAATACGTTTATTCCATGAGTGGCCCCATATTATACATTTTGGTTAAAATTATTTTATTGTGCTGAAAGGATGTTTGCTTAAACTTAATTTGAAATAAAGTAAGAACGAGAGGGAACTGTTTTACTGGCTCTTAACAATGTTACGCAAATCAGCTGTGATAGAGTATTACACTCATATTAGAATATATATATATAAATGTAAATATATTTCCATTAAAATAGTTGCTTACTTTGATGTTTCCTTGAAGACAATGTTCAATATCTTTGCCGGAAGGGTCATCAGTAAATAGGGCAAACCCTGACTGTGCAGGTTTTCTCATTCCTGTATCCTGATTAAGTGTGCTCAAAAATTCTTCAACAGTGGTAGAAGCATCAAATCCGACAACCTGTGCAGACCACATAAATTTTACATCAATTAATTTTGCATCAAACTTTAATTAGATTTTAAAGTAACTACCATGCTGAAACTATGAAAGTAACATGTAGCGGACTGGATTCAAGAATGTTCTACCTCCTACGAAGCACATCTATGTATCCAAATCAGACTGAAAATACAAATATATCAGTGGTGGGATTCAATTTTTTTACTACCGGTTCTGTGGGCATGGCATACTGCAAAATCCCTATTCCCTCTCCACTCTCAAAATTTCCACTACCGGTTCTCTCTCCAGAACCTGTCAGAACTGGCTAAATACCACCTCTGAAATATGATATAAACCTAAGGATAATTATACAAAATGTAAAAATAAAAATATGGGTTAAAATCAAAGAGACATATTTTCCAAAATAGCACCACCTGAGTCCTACAATTACAATTACATATATATGTTCCATTGTAAAGCCATAGACAATGAACCAATGAATAATAAGATTTCGAGTCTACAATAACTGAAAAGTATATTACTGAGCCTGTGGGAACTCTCTTCCTCCTGTAGATACACCCTATATTTCCTTCTTATTGTACTTGCTTGGTTGCAATGGATTTATCTTGGCTAGATGAAATCACCAATGGTCTGATTGGAAGCTTCAGAAGAAAGAAATTATGTCTACTACAAACACCACACACAGTCACTAGAGCTAATTGTCTGTCTTCTGAAGACCACACTAGCCTCCACAGTAACATTTAGAAATCTTCAATACCATAAAACAACTGCACATAACACCAAAGCCAACATGGATAATTTATTATAAATTGCTACAAATTGTTTTTCTAATAAAATGTATATTCATTTTATATGGTCAAATTTTATTTACTGAATAAAAATGTGCACATATAGACATGCATTCAGATTTAAAACGATCTTGAAATCTTTAAATATCTCTGGCATTTGTGATTTTATCTTCCCATTATAATTTTGATTATTTTATGCTTAATTCTACCTGGTATATGCCATTCATGAAATGTACTGGAATGCTAAAAGGCAAGGAGTGATGGTAGGGATTTCTTAGAAGTGTTGAAAGAATTTCCATTCTTGATGGTCTGGCTTCTCTGTCACCATTCTGTTGTGTTCTTTCTACACATCGTTGACAATAAATTGCGTATTTTCCAAATTCAGTCCTGTAAACACAAAGCTAGTCTTTATGGCTTCATATTTTAAAACAGATTTCAAATTATCATGTTAATGTTTAAAAGTATTTAATATGTCATAGTACAGATCTGTGGATTATATACGTGAATTTAGATTTGATATACAGAGTTCCAGACTGGCATAAAGACATCCTCTATAACAGTGTTTCTCAACCTTGGCCACTTGAAGATGTCTGGACTTCAACTCCCAGAATTCCCCAGCCAGCATTTAAGTACTTTGCAAATGTGCTGAAGAACTGGGTGTTGGGTTGTTTTTTTTTGCAAGCTATTAACTCATGTCTTTTAAGTTGTCTGCTTGCTGAAGCAATGAGAACAAGTATATCTTTTTTTAAAGCCAGATTGAAGCAGGGAAAATGAGATAAAGTTTTCCTAGAAATTGAAAAGTCAGAATAAATTTCTTTTTAGAAATCTGTCCTTCAAACTGAAGACTAACATAAAGGCTAGAAGGCAGGACAAAGGTAGAACTAAACTGGGAAATCTATTGGTTCACAGCCTTAAACAAAATATGAATGGAATAACTTCATCTTTCTTGTGAACTATGGATTAACTGTTTATTGAATATCTCCTCTCTTTTAACAGATAATGGTGTCAAGAAAAAGCCAGCTAAATTTTATTCTAGTATTATTTTTTCAAGAGATATATTATTAAATATTTTGTACCTTTCCTAATCTCTTAAAACATAGCTGTGAAATACATATGTGAAATGCAAAACAGTAATTCAAATGCTGTTCCAGCTCAAGTGTAGATGGTACTGCTGGGCTACATTAACTAATGGTGCTACTTGCCAATGCAAAGATTTGCATTTTTAGAATAGCCTTTGGTTTTGGAAAGGGGGGGAAATGTTGGGGCCCCTTAAACTTTTGTACCTTAGGCTAGTGCCTATTTAGCCTTAGCCATAAGCTGGTCCTGCCTCAACCAGCCTACTAAATTTCCAATTTGGAGCCCAAGTTGGATTTTAAATGTGAAAAAAAGAATGCTGAAGTGAGAGAATTCGAGGTTATTTCACTGAGGTCACAATAATAATTAAACTGCTATATGTGCAGTGGTGGGATTCAGCCAGTTCACATCATTTTGGGAGAACCGGTTGTCAACTTTCTGAGCAGTTTGGTGAACTGGTTGTTGGAAGAAATCATTAGGGAAGAGAACCAGTTGTTAAATTATTTGAATCCCACCACTGTATATGTGATAATGTTTTATATTTCTATGTTACATTACATTCCAATATTTCAGTAATAAAAACCAATTTTCAGATTTCAGTCATTTTATTCTTCATAATATATACCTGGAATCTGCATTCTTCTTCAAATGAAGTTTGATGACCCAAAGAAATGGGTGTTGTGGGAGGAAGAGTCCAACACAGAGTGCTAAAAGCTGCCAGGCCTAGTCAAGAAAGAAAAGCAGAATCATTGCCTATAGTTTCTCCCAGGATCAAATTGTCTTCAAGCAAAGTTCTATGAAAATAATAGACACCAACCTCCGAGAATCCTGCTTAAAGCCATTAGTTTTGTGTATACTTTTGTAAGATTAGAGTGAAGATAAACAAAATCAGACAATAGACAGGAGAATACAATAGAAAAGAAAAGGGAAAATTGGTAGATACATAAAACTCAGATAATGCAAACTCCCAAGTCTAGTGTTAAAAATATGATATGTATTTGTTTTAACAGTTGTTTTGACAATCCAAAACTAGTTGTTACTTATTATATAGTATAATTTATCACAAATTCCCAGTTTAATTACATTCTTCAAATGAATGTAATATATGTTGAATTAATATAGCCAAGCCTCAGTCAAAACAATTTTTAAATGGCAATATTGCATTCACACAGTATGTTTGTGCCCAATTCACTTTGCTATTTCACAGGTTTTCTATCCTTCAGCTTAATGCAAGATAATAGAAAAAACAGTATATAACAACCGGAAAGGAAAGTGACATTACGGAATTATCTGGAATGAAACATCTTTGGAGATGAAACTAGCTTAGTTACTATTTAAGAGAAGAAGTGATACAATTAAGAAAGTAAAAGTAGACTATTTTTTATCATATTCTATTGTACATTTTTAGTGTTCTTATTGCACACTCTTTTATTAAAAATTTATACCATCCATCCTCAGTATAGGAGTGACAGATATTTGCTGTAATATGTTTAGCACCTGAACTGGCCCTATTTGATTTGGTGGCTGCCGTCTTCTTGTCTGCTTTATCAACTGACAACAGATTTCATTCTGAAGCTCTGGATGTGTGAGACAGACTTGCAATGCACTTTGAGCCAAAGACACATGGTAGTCAATAGCAGGGGAATCCACAGCAGCATTGATAAACAACTGACATGTCTAGAAAAAAGCATAACACAGAGGAAATTCAGTTGTGTATTTCAAATTTCAAAGTGCTACATCAACTCTGATTTCATCATATTAAGAAACTAATTACTCAAACACTTTGAATAACAAGTCCGTATCAGTGGTAGATAACAAGTACCTATTGGCTAGAAACAAATACTGAAAAAAGAAAAATCAGTTCCTTGTCTTTTACTGTCATGGTGGCTAGCAGCTAATACTACTCTTTAGTTTTATTCCCACCAGACTCAGAGAATGGTGAGAAAACAAATCCATTTCTACTGGCTCAACTAAGATCAATTGCTATTTAAGTTCCTCACCTCCCTGGATCATACAATTACTTTATGCAATGTTATCATGTTTGTTTATTGAGAATTATATTGTCTATCCTGATTGACAGTGACTGAGGCTTTTTACATTAGTACTTCCTAATCTGTTTGTCACAAATATAATAACTGAAATACACTCTTATTAAATATGGATTATGTTCACTTCATAATAAGGGAGATAGCTTGGTGTAGTGGTTAATGTGCTGGCCTAAAAATGAGGAGACTGTGAGTTCTAGTTCCACCTTAAGCATGAAAGCTGTTGAGCCAGTCACACTCTCTCAGCCTGTCTCCTCCCACTACACAGGGTTGTTGTTGTGGGGCAATTGATGAAGAGGAAAGAGTATTATGAATATTTGCCACCTTGAGTTACTTATAAAGTACTAAAGGTGGGATAAAAATAGAATAAATAAAATAAATCACATTCAGCAGTTGCATTAGTTACAGGGTAGTCTGTAAGTACTTATTCAAATTAAGTATAATACTTATTCAAAACTTGGCCTTTAATAACTCTCCTTTCACTGTCTTGAGTATGACAAACAATTGCCAAAAGAGAATCTCCTTTGTAGAAATGGAACACTCTCACTGTGGAAAGTTGTCAAAAATTATCTTTAGAAATATAGGAATGATCATCTTTCAGCATCTAAAAGCCAGAGTTGAATTTTACAGTGGAACTCTGAACCTTTGCTTAAAGCAGATTTTCCCTTATGCAATTGCTAGTAAATGCATGCTGGATGGTTTCTTCAAATATATTTGGATTTTTATTATTTAAGCTTCTTTACACATTTATCTTTGGATGTACTACACATCTAACATTTGCAAGACCGATTGCAAGCAAGCGTTAGGATTTATTTTTATTTATTTACACACACACACAAACACACACACAAAAGTCACAACTTACTATGATTAAGCGGCTGAATATTTAAACTGGATATTTTAAAGGAAACATTCTGTAAAAGTCATTACTGAAAAGGAAAAGTTGTGTCATGCTTACCTTGAATAATTTTATGGCTTCTGTTTGCAGCGCCTCTGATGGAAGGGTTGTAAGAGGAGAAGTAATTCCATCTTTGCTATGACAAAGAGTGGGATGCCTCCAGATTTGAGAAGCTGGAAATTAAAAGGGGGGCCAGAACAAATTACTATAAATATACCCATGTACTACTTAAAAGTTCTCAGTTAAAATATAATGGTAGAGTGACCTATTAAAGTATTCTGCCTCAAAACTTTGCAAACTCTTAAATAGTGTCATGTTGGTTGATCCTAGTGACACAATTTCATTATAAAAGAAATTTGATTTTCTTCCTCTACATCAGTGCTATACATGCTTTAGAGAAGCTGATCTCCTCCAATAGTGCTCCAAATTAATTAATACATGAAATCAAGAAATATCACAAGATTTTAGGGATTTATCCTGGAATTCTGTAAGAGTTTAGGCAAGATTTTGTGTTGGAGAATACTGTCATAATCTGCATGATTTGCAATTTCATGGAATAATGACCATTTTAAACCAAGAGTTAACTGGCTATAGATTATGAAGAACTAAATTAAGAAAATAAATTACTTGGGATATTATATGATAACATGTTTATGTGTTATACAAGTATGTGCATAAACTTCAGCGTAGTTGAATGTACATATGTATTTTAATGAAAATACTTATAGTCCAGCATTATATCAAAACAGACTATTCTGAAGCGCACAAAATTAATTTGCAATGTTTTTGTAATATTATTCATCACAACAGTGTTTAATAGTTTATATTTCTTGCAAATGAATATTTCCCACAAATATGCTTATTTGGGTTGCAAAGTAGATAAAACTTCAATATGACTTTAAACTTCCAGGGAGCAATATATCACTCTTACTGAAAATGTTAATATGCTCCTGCTGCACTCCTGTCTAGTAAATATCACGATGCTACTGACAATGTCAAAAGTTTAAAGATTTGATTAGTTAATTGGGCTGCGGGTTGTCTAGTAAGTCACACTATGACAGTTAACTTGAAAGGCAGTTTAAATAACCCTAATATGGCTATGTGAAAACTAAAAGAAAAGTACTGACAGCATTCCATATATATATTTTAAGCATTCATTTAGAAATATTAGTCCACTGCTTCCACTGTTACTCGAATAAATGATTTATAGATGAGAATAATGCATTATTTTCCAATCTGCATGCATCTGAACAATTAGAGATCAAGAGTAAAGTTTGTTGAATTACCCAATCGCATCAGTTTCTAGATGTAGCATTTTATGCTATGTAACATATTTATAATATTTAGAATAACTGAAAAATTAATATACTGTTATAAATACATATTTAGATATATCCCTCCCATGCATTCTAATGAAAAGAACAATTAAGAAAATGGCTGCCACATGCAAGGGGGCAGGTAAAGAGAGTAAAGGATGAAATAAGTAACATATGCCACAATGCAAGTTCTATTCCTTTCCTGCATGTGCCATAGTGTCACATGCATATAGTTAACAATGTGGAATTTGCATCACAATTTGATTCTATGGTCTCTGAGATACCATTAGCTGACAGCCATTGATGTTTCCTAAAGAAATAGCTAAATAGCAAAAATTCCATATTCAAATGTGTTGCTTATAAGCTACATTGTAGAGGCTTTGAACAGTATTCTTGTATTTGTGATTTTTAAAAAAATAGCTAATGGGGTTGCACACACTTTGCAACTGATTTTAAAAAGAGTTTTCGAAACTCAAACAAGTACTTCTCTGCTTTTTATTTAATCAGCCTGAAAAAAATGATTCTGCTGATTTAAGGAATGTGTTCACTCTTAAAGCAGCAGCAATTATCCATCCTGATAAATAAGGATTGATAGCAGAAAATATATTGGCTTACTGGGTTCTCCTTCAATATTTAACAGTTTGCAGACAAGCTGTTCAAATTCTGTCCCAACATTTATATTTGTGCTTCCAGCAGCAATGGTGAGATAATAAAGCCAAGTATCCTAGGAAATCAAACATAATTTGTTTCACTTAAAAAAATATATATGAATAACTATTCAAAACATTTATACATAACTTTAATTCAAAAAATATATTATTGTTCTACAATTCAATTTAATCAAAGTATTAATTATGTTTATTTCCATAAGGAACATCGAGATAATCCAATACAAATTTACATCACAAAATGCAAAATAAATTACATTTTCTTAATTAAATTACATCATGATTAGTCTTTCAATATATAATTTATATAGGAATAAGCTCAATTAAACTTAATGGAATCTTCTACTCAACAATGGGATCTTCTCAACAAATATTCCATGCAATAGACAATTGGTAGTGAAAACAAATTGACAACACTGAAGAAAGTATAAAACTGAGTGAAAGATAAGAAAATATTACTGTGCCTCTCACTCCAAATAGCAATTTAATTATCAAAATGGTAGAATAAAGGAAATATTAGATAAGAGATATTATGAATCAAATGTGTTGCTGAAAATGAAAAAAACTAAAAATTTAATTTCAGAAAAGTCTTAAAAACCTATTGGTGAATAATCACATCATTGTACATCTTCCTGACACATAACTTTTCAATTTACTTTATGGCATATTTTAGTCAATTATACAAATAGAAAAAAGTTTGAACTCATTTTAAGATAATTTAGCAAGTTTACTATCTCACATAGTCATTCTGTTCAAATATAAAGTAAAACAGTTACAAAAAACTGTCTAACTGCTATTGCTAAAAAAGAACTTGCCTTCCTCTGGTAATATATACCACTCTCAAATATAAATTCTACTTCTTTTTTACCCAAAGTAGCTTAGTTATGAATTACACATACTTTATCTTTATAAATGATAGTTTATCTATCTTTCTGCAACTTTCAACTTCTCCTTGCATCTAATGAAGGGAAAGCACAATGCTCATTGGAACTAATTCCTGCTATTGTAAATTATTATGTATAATTATTCTAAATTTGCTGCTCCACTTTATTTATTAGCTCGGTCCAGATGTAACTTTATCCCTACATATACAGGTTTTTAGTTTGTTTTTCTGCAAGTAAGTGATGAAAGCTGGCTGACAAATCTTGGAACAATGGAACATTTGCTACCTTCTCATACTTGGATCCTATTAGAAGATACGTGGGTGCTTGTTCCTTAGGATGGATGACAATGGTAAAATGTGTTGATAATAAGCTGCGACCACTGGCTTCATAATCTTCATCTGAATCACAGGATCGATCAACTTCTTCAACTTTAGCTTCTAATAACTTTATCTGGCCCAAGGGAAACTAAAAGTAAGGAATTAATATTAGGACAGAGCTCTATTAAAATCTAATTCATTAATCTTTTCTATGGTCAAATTGAGCATATTTCTCATTCCATGACTGAAATTGGACAGATTTTGTTGAAAACATGATTTGTATTTATTCTGCTTATTTTAGTTACAACTATGCATAATTAATGGGATGGGGAAAGGACTAAAAATAATGAATTTCTTTTTTCAGCTGGCAAAAATGGTTGCAAATATGTGTCCATGGCTCCATTTATTTATTTTTGTTTTGTTTTCACTCATCGTGGAGGAGTGAAACCAAGAAACGGAAGGACAAATTAGCTTCTTCTTCTTCCATTGGAATCTATATGGCTCAGATCCCTGTTGTGACTCGGCAGGAACCTTTGGAGCTGCTATCAGACTCTGACAGCGAGGGGCCCGATGAGTCAGGCCTGGAGGAGGCGGAGGGCCCTGGACAGGGTTCTGACTCTGAGCAGGGCTCAGAGAGACTAGTTGGTCCCCAGGTAATGACTGAGTCTGGGATCAGTGAGAGAGGCTGACACAGAAACCTCCTGTGAGTTGTTTCGGGATGCACGCAGGAGAAGGGCTGACCGACGTAAGGAGCAATTGAGGACTCACAGGGGATGATAACGAGCAGCTGTGGCTTGTTAAGATCTCCTCCTGCGGATAAGAGACTGATGGTGCCACGCCCTAGTTGCAAAAGTCAACGTTCCATTCCGTGCCATTTCTGTTCTAGTCAAGCTCTCCGTTTGTGTGCAACCATCGAGAAAAAAACACTTGGATTAGTGACTTGATTTATATAATCCTGTTTTGTATTAGTTTATGAGTAAGGACTTTTGCCAGATCATTTATCTGTGTTTATTTTGGGCTTGCAGCCAGCAAGAGCTGGAACTGATAAAAATATTTCTTTGAAGTTCTGTGTGGCTTTCGTTTTTGAACGGACAAGGTGGGGGGTCAGAACAGATCCCTATCTGCTTACCTACTAGAAACCAAGGGAAATTATGGCTGCCTGGTCACCACAAAATAGCTGAGAAAGATACTCTGGACTTCTACCTCCAGAAGCTAGTAAACCAATACTTCTCTATTCTGCTATATGTAAACAAGATAAGTCTTTTTAATTCTCCTATGGCACTCAGAAGACCACTGAGGAACATTGCTCAATATTTCAAGGAAAATCATTCTAGTAAAATGATTATAAATCCAAAGTCTCTGCCAAGAGATCAAACATACATTTATGGCATGCAAATGGGAATACATTTGAGTAGCTCTCATGGCAGGATGTAATCTTGCAGGTATTGACTATATGAAGTTTCATGGATGCTTTGTGACTCCAAATGTTATTTTTTGGGTGAGGGGGAACTTACAATAAATTGAAAACAAGAGAATCTGAATAAATGTCTGGATATATGTTCTTACACATATAGACTATGCATGCGTGCATAGAAATTTTTTAAAAACACATTTAAATACAAAGTACCAGTATACAGAACTAAAGGAAGTCTCTGAAAAAGACAGGATAGAAATAACCTGATATATTCCACCTGAATGGGTGGAAACTAATCAAGGAGAGAAGCAACTTAGAACTGAGGAGAAATTTCCTGACAGAACAACTAAACAGTGGAACAGTTTGTCTCCAGAAGTTGTGAATGCCCCAACACTGGAAGTCTTTAAGAAGATGCCGGATAGCCATTTGTCTGAAATGGTATAAGGTTTCCTGTCTAGGCAGGGGGTTGGACTAGAAGACCTCCAAGGTCCCTTCCAACTCTGCTATTGTATTGTATTGTAAAATCATAGCTATAACTTATAATTTCTTAATACATTAAAAAAATACCTTGTCTTCATGACTGCGGAAATAATATAAAGTTTTCCCAACTAGTATACACCACACTGTTTTAGAATATCCATGTTTCACCTGCAAATGAAATTAAATATTTTATGCAGAAGGGCAATGAATTTTTTTTAAAAAAATCCTGTATTTAAAAGCATTATAGGGCTTTAGTACAGTAACAACAAAGCTACAATTCTTCAGAAAAGTACTGTATTTCTGAAAATTTTGACGAAACAATGAAAACCACAGACTCACAGCTATATAACTGAGTTACGTTTATAGCTGAACTTTCATATACAGTTCATATAAAACTGATATGAAATATAAATAGTGTAGCTGCATGTGAACATATAAAAAATAAACTCCTTAGCCTCTTTCTGGATTATTTTCCTGCCTAGACATGATTCAAACCAGTAGTTTTTAGTTCTATTTTAGATTAATCTTCAGGTAAAGTTTTTTCCTATGACAACCTGTGGAAACAAACGCTGGATTTGGAAGACACAGGACAGAAAGAGTATCAATGCACTTGAACCTTCAAGTATTAGATACATTTTTAAGGATATCATGGGCAGCCAGGAAAACAAATGGATCGAAGAATAAATCAAACTGGAATTCTCATACATAGTATTAATGGCCAAACTTAATGACTATTGTTTTGGACATATCATGTGGAAACCCAATTACCTTTAGAAGTTTTCATGTTAAAAATGTTGAAGGAAAAAAAAGGAGAATAGCCAGTGCCAATGAAGATGGATTAATTAGAACCGTACTTCTAAGAGACCTAAATTGAAGACAGACTATTCTGAAGAGAATCTATCAATGTGGTTCCCTAAGAATTAATACCAACTTGATAGTATTAAATCAATCAATGAATAATTTATAGCCCTGTTGAAACCTAAGCAATCTAAATTCAATTATGGTCACTTGAAAATAGATAACCTTGTTAATAGAAGCATTAAATCAGCTTTTTTCAACAACTATACTTTTTCCAAGTTCAAATAAAATGGCAAAAAGCTTCTGAACATAGTTGCAACAGAAGAGGAAGATTTTAGGTTTCATGTTATACTTGGGGAGCCTTACAAAAAGGGGATTATCATTACAATGCTTTTTGGTGTTTTTTTTTAAAAAAATCTACCTACCTGGTAATGTTTTACTCCTATTTTTTGCAAGTATGCTGGGAACACAAAGAGGGATCTCAAGCGCTAGGTTAATCTTAAAACTTTTCCAAAAACTGGCATTTTATTTGCTAACTTTTAAAACTAATTAAAGAGTAATAGCTAACTAAAAAGAGCAATGAATTCTTAATACCAAACCAATGGATACTTTCCTCCAGAAATAAATAGCATGAAAAGTTTTCTTCATAAATGCAGAAAAAGAAGCATTACATTTTGTACCCATGCTTGCTGATATCCCAATACTTGGCTGATACTATCTGCATTTTAAAAAGGTCCCTGATTAAATGCAAAGACATATTAAATGGTAGCTAATTTAGCCTCCAGAATGATCAGGAAAAACCTTAAGTATTCCAAACTTACCCAAGTGGTAATGAAAAACAAAGGTAATCCCCAGCATCGTGGGGATTGTTTATGTATTTTAAAATGTTTATTTAATAAAAACATTTTTACCATTTTCTGTCTCAAAGCAATATTATGAAACAGAATAGGAAAGTTATTACCACCAGAGGAGCCATATATAGTACCGTAGTTTCCGAATGTTCTATTCATTACATTTAAGAAATATGGGAACCAAATATACCACACATACTAGTAGCAAAGGGCATAAATAAAATTGAATCCTATTAGGCTTTGCTGTCCCTAGCAAAAAATCCCCAAACACATCCAAACCTGCATATTTCTTTAATGCCCTCCTGCTCCCTTGATAGTAGTGAAACTTTCATGAGACATAGGCCTATAAAATCCTTTGGGTTTTTTTTAAACCATCCCTATTTTGGGATTACTAATCTACCAATTTAATAGTAATTTAGAAATATTTTGATGTAATTAATAAAATTTAAATACCCAGTTTTCTAAATGAAAACTCTTGAAAAACAGAATAAAAACAGAATAAAAATATCAAGAAAAAAGTAATGTTGTCTTTTACCTTAGTAAGCAAGCCTTTCACTGCTGGTTTAACATCTGGCTGAATAAAAAGTGGGCTTGCAGCTTGTACTTTAAGGACATTTTGTAATACTTTGATCCATTCTTCTAAGATATTTGGGGAATCTGCAGTCATGTAATAAGTTCGTTTTTCTGTAGTCAGCTGAGGAGCATTAGAAACAAAACACTTTGACTGAAAGTAACCGGAACATTTTTAATGCTAAGCTCCTAACTGGTACCAATACAAAATATTATAATAAATATAGTCTAAAGCAGTGGTTCTCAACCTGTGGGTCGATACCCCTTTGGGGGGTCAAACGACCCTTTCACAGGGGTCGCCTAAGACCATCAGAAAACACATATTTTTGAAAAAATACGGAAAACATAAAATAATTTTATGGTTGGGGGTCACCACAACATGAGGAATTGTATTAAAGGGTCGCGGCATTAGAAAGGTTGAGACCTACTGGTCTAAAGGTTATTAATATGTTTATACCTAAATCTTTGGTGGGAATTCAAGGTGGCATTGATATTTCTCAACCACATTTTATCCTCATTAAAACCATAAAATACAAGCTAGTCCTTGACTTATAAACATTCATTTAATGTCATTCAAAGTTACAATGGTGCTAAGAATAATGACATGACTTAATACAGCCTCTTTGCAGTCACATAATTAAGTCTATGGAGATTCTCAGTCATCCAGGTCATGGTTGTCCCAAAGGTGCTTTTTCAAAAGGCAACTAGATTTTGTTTTTCCTTGAAGACGTTTCATTTCTCATCCAAGAAGTTCTGAAGAAGGTTCTTGGATCAAAAAGCAAAATGTCTTCAAGGAAAAACGAAGTCCAGTTGCCTTTTGAAAAAGCATCATTGGGACATGTTCTGGATGATGAGAATCTCAATAGACAAGGGTATGTCTGCCTGTATAAGCACCATACAAATTCCCTGTGTGTACACATACTTTCTGACACATATAGGCAAATGCCCCATCTTTGCACAGCAAATTATTCCTTCCTAAAGGTTAGGAAGAAAAAAAATGCTATTCAAGTCCAAGACCCATCTCTTTACCTCCTTTTTTCTCAGCATAGTTCCTACTAATTACTGAGTCCTTTATTTGCCTGAGAAATCATAGTTGGTGCAGATTTCAATTTCATTAAGCAGTAGTTTAAACGAAGCTCTATCCATATAAATACATATACGTTGTTTATCCCAATGGGTTGCTCAGGGACTACTGCTAATGAGGAAGCTTGTATCAGTCAAGCCTTACTTTCCTATAACCACAAATGAAATCTAGAAACTTGCAACTGCCCAAGTGTCTGCCTGTATCTGTTTCTTCATGAAGAGTTTCAGTAGGAAGAAAAAGGAAAAACTACATCCTGATGTACACATGACTGCTATTCTGCTGCCCCATGAAACATCATAAATTAAGGAAATACCTGAACTGTTTGTTTTCCATCACCTCTTACAATATGGCTGGATGCACTTAATTCAATTTGACCTTGGGGTTTTCTTATTACATCACTCTATGGGAGAAATAATGTAATAAGTAAATTATCATGTGTAGTACCAATAATCATCAACCACATTTCAGAGCAAGAAACTGAAATTCACTTTCAGATGGTTGGACATAATAACCCCTTTGGACTGATGGATATATTTAGAATTGTTTATATTTTGCATATTGTTGGCATTTGGCAAAATTAATATAAGCTTATAATTATTTATAAGGAATTTCTTCCTTATAAATTTAATCCTTTTGTTTCCAATTTGCATTTACAACAACCTTCTGAAGTAACTGTGAAGACTGAGAAGTAACTATGTACTCGCACAGCTCTCAGAGCATACAAGTCCCACAACCACATCAAGGTAAGGGATATTATTATTCTTCCATAATAATTATCTTGATTCATAACAGTCACTGCCCATTGATTCCTAAGCAGCTTGGATCAATGGAAAAATAGGGGGAGGAGAGGACAGTTCCATACTTTATTGAAGAATATCACAAAAGGGCTAGAGAAGGGGATAGCTGGACAAAAATTTAAGATGGTGAGGAAGAAAGAAATCGAAATAGGATAATCTAAATGTAGCTAGTGAATGTCCTAAGGTCATCTATGAGTGTGTCAGAATTATAGCCCTGGTTTCTTAAACATCTCTGGATTCCAAAGTCATTAGAGGGCAGAGTCCAAAGGAAATTATACTGAATTGGTTCCAAGAAGATTGAAAGTCACTAAAGTTTCATATACTGTATTAAAGCTGACTAGCAACAAGATTTCTGGAACAGATAGCAAAACTTCTAGATCAGACTTCTGCTGCACATGTTTGGACTGCAAGAATTATTTCTATGCAGCTCTCAGAATTAAAAACACTGCCTTGTTTATTACATATATTGTCTCATAAACATGGCTGAAGAACAAACTTTCAGAGAAAAGAGATTTGAAGTAATTTATTATTATACTTCAGATCAGTTCAAAAACAAATTGTTGCATAATTCAGTAAAGAAATACAGGCAAACACAATCTTAATGAGCTAATCTTATAATTTGCATTTGCTTACCGGAGATTTATAATAAAGCAATTCACCCCCTTTGAGTACAAACCATCGTCGTTTCCACGTTTTTACTTTACCACTCATTTTTAACAAATATCCAGATTTCTCTAGCAGTTCCTATATTTTAAAGAAAAAAATAAATAAATGCTAAAATTATTTGATTAATGCACTATGAATTGATAAACAACATTTCTAACCAAAAATGATGTTTAAGGTCCTAATACAAAATTAGGAAAATTATTCATAGACACATAACATAAATTTTCAAGTAAAAACAATTAAAAACCGGAATTAAAAATGCAGCACATTGCAATGGTGTCAAAAACTACTGGCAGGGCTACTGGAACTAACAGACATATAACCTCTGTCCAGTTCTTTATAAATAGATTCATGCATAGATTCATATATTGTGTATGATTAACAGCATGAGAAAGGAAAATAAATGTTAAGATATAACATAAGCAAAATGTAATCATGGCATATACAAAATAATCAGCACCATCTTCTAAAAGAAGGAACAAAGCCACCATAACCACTTGGATATCAAAGCAATCCCATAATTTAGGTAAAGTGATGGGTATTTTACATCTCTTTGTTGCTATTAGTGATTATCCAAAGCTTTGCAGCCAGGCCTTGGTAGCGCTAAAGTTCTAATGCTTGAAGCCAGATTGAAACAGAAAAACGTTATAGCTTACTTTCAAATACTTTGGCCACCTAATGAGAAGGAAGGATTCACTGGAGAAGAGCCTAATGCTGGGAAAGATTGAGGGCAAAAGAAGAAGGGGACGACAGAGAATGAGGTGGCTGGATGGAGTCACCGAAGCAGTAGGCGTGAGCATAAATGGACTCCAGAGGATGGTAGAGGACAGGAAGGCCTGGGGAAACATTGTTCATGGGGACGCGATGGGTTTGACATGAGTTTGCAACTAACAACCACATAGCTTACTTACATTTTTTCCATTATCACTAGATGATGAACAGGTTTTAGGTAATTTTTGTTCGGGTTCTGAGTAATCTGTATCAGTTGAATAGGCATCAGGAGGAATAGCATAGTCACCTTCTGAAGTCATTGAAGACAGAGAGACCCCTGAGTGCAAGACAAATGAAGCAATTTAAATGAAATTTTCCTTTTCTCAATCTGTAATAAAAACTGTTTAATGTATTCTTTTAATAATAGCACCATTTTAACTTTATGTGTCCTAAAGGTTAAAATAGTTGTTTTGTTATAAACGCTGCCCACCTCGTTTTATAGCCCGTGGGCTACCAGGACCACTTCTGCTTCTAGAGTCTGATTCAGATGTCCGTGAACTGGACTGGGAACCATCTTCTTCAGATCCAGATGAGTCATCTAAGAACGGGTTGTTACTGATTTGTGTTGCCTTCTGATAAAATCAACAAGCCATTGGTTAAAACTGTTTACTACAATAGTCAAAAAGACAGCATAATAATAATGTTATATAATATTCATATGGTTTTTTTTAAGATGAGAGATTGCTTAGAATAGATTATAGTTATATAAATAATTTTTGATCATTAACAGTTTGTTTTTAAAATATTTTATGGGTAAATTAGATTTGCTGCTGTATTTTAAAAAAAACCCATTTATGTCATGACTTAATTACATTTGCTAGATATAACCTAAACAAATCAACACTGATTTTTATTAGTATACAGGCAGTTCCACATGATTAAGGGATGTCACTTAATATAGTGCTACATGATAATATTTGGAACTTGGCTTCTTCTCATCTCTGTCTAAAAAGAGACACGGAAAGACACTAACTTCTTGCATTGCTACATAAAGATTTTTTGCACCTAAGATTACTATTAAAGACTGGTATCCAATATCAGTTTCTTTGCATTTGTATTCCTTTAGCCAATATTTCTGTCTCTGAAATTTCATTCTGCTTCAGGTTTCATATTAAATAAAACATGCATTCTGATTGTATTTCAGTTCTCTGTAGGTATCTCCAAGTTAGTGGAATGTAGACCAGAATATGTTGTATCATTGCAAGATAGTTTTTAGATCACAGAGAATAAAATTTAGAGCTAGAAGTGCTTGCAACTAAAATACACCATGTTTAAGTAACAGAAACATATTTTGGTTATTATTAAGGTAGCTTACTTTATTACACTTTCAAAGGAGCAAGAATTACTTTTCCAGCTTAAGAGGTGCGGAAGTAGAATATTTTGAGTAAACATAAACAGAAGCAGCCACATTTTTAAAGTAGACCTAACATAACATTTCTCCAAGCATAATTGTAAAAAAACGATTACCCCTTTAAGAGTGGTATAAACTGGTGTAGTCATGTTCTTATATATTAATGATGTGTAGAGTCCTGATGAAGAATATGAAGATGAAGAAGAGGAACCTGAAACAAAGTTTTTTAAAATAAATTCAGAAAATACTGGGTGTATAATTTTTTTAATTTAAAAAAGATCAGTTAATTTGCTAAATAGGTAGTCTGGGGAAAAATTATATAAGATTAGTTTACATCTTTTAATTAAATATACATATTTCAGATGGAAAACTCAAATTTAAAATATATATATATGTGTGTATACACACACACACACACACACACACACACACACACAAATATTTATTAATACTACCTATAACAAATCCATTAAAAAGTAAAATTTTCTTTGGGAGTTGCCTTTAGATATTCAGGGCCTTTGAAATCCCAGAGTGCCAGGTAAACTTTTTTCTTCCTTGATTATGCTAACTGAAAAGGAAATATTACAGTATTCAAGGGGATTTGCCTCAGCAATTCAGTTTAAGTAACTATTCTAATTACTTACTTTTATTGAAAGAGTCCATGTTGAAGACCTCAGAAAAGCACAGACCTGATTTGGCTACAGCATAAATTCTGTTTTCCTGAAGAACAAAACAGAGCTGCTATTATATTAAATTTATGTTTCTATTATAAGCAGTTTGTTTCTCTCTAAGCACTTTACAGAGTTAGCATATTGCCCCCAACAATCTGGGTTCTTATTTTACCAATCCCTTTACCAAAGGATAGAAGGCTGAGTCAACCTTGAGCCAGTGACAATTGAATTGCTGGCAGTCAGCAGAATTAGCCTGCAGTACTGCATTCTAACCACTGTGCCACCATGGTTCTGTAAGTCAAACTTGTAAATTAAAAACTACCTGTATATAAGGATAAAGATTGTCTTTTGTCAAGCTTGATTCCTGATAATTACATGGAAATGCCTATGCAGGTTTTTTTGGGGGAATGACATAAAAATGGTGTGCCTTTGTCATCTTCTTAGATGTTTTTTAATAAATCCAAGTGCTGGGATTTCCTGATAACATCCCATTCAAGTATTAACCAGGTTGATCTGTTTAGCTTTTTTGAGAACAGCCAAAGTCAAGTAGATACTGCCATCTACTATCTGCAGTTAATTTTAATAGAGAAGAATTACCACTAATCTTTTCAGAACAAACTGTGAGAAAAAGTATCTGCCACGGAGGTTAAAAAAAGAAAAGCCACACTTATAAAACAAAATTACAGTGGAATATGAGTAATCTGTAGTCTAATTAACAATCTGGAATATTATTATTTATTATACCTAGTTCACTTACCCAAGAAGGGAATCGATGTAGTGGAGGAGTGGGAGGTTTACTGTTAATCATCTTCCCTGAATCGCTCAAATCCACAGTTTCTGTATCTTTCATTTCACAGCAATCATAAGTAAATGATTCCTCATTACAACTAATCTCCATCTTCTCAAAAACCTCTGTGTCATCTCCATCTACCTGATCAATGTCTGTTTCCTGAGGCTTAAAAGGACGTATCATGCTTATAGCATTCCTGTTTTTGCCAAACAGTTTATCAGAACACAAGGAAGGCTGGCTAAAATGTTTTTTTGCCAACGCTGTACTTAGAATAAAAGCACTAGGAGTCCTCAGTTTGGGTGGTGGCAGATTAGATGGAGAATCAAGCTGTTTGTCAGACTGAGAGCTGGCTGCCAGCATCACTGATGGATGCTTAGGAGCCAAAGATGGGGTCAAAATTGGACTTGGAGTATTTGCTTCACTAGAAGAGGATGAATAATCTAGCCTGTGGGATTGAAATCTCTTATTTAGTTCATCGGAAAAGCTATCATGACTTTTTTTTTCACTGAACGATTCCAAGTTGCTCTTTCCAATTAGATGGTTCTGATTTTTCCATGAAGACTTTTGTTGCCAGGAATACAGTTTATGTACATTTCCCTGAGATTGAAAACTTTCTTCTTCCAACATGGAGCTACTGTCATCTGATGCTGTCAAATACATTTCACTCCCTATTCTGCTGTACCCTGTGCCCTCTTCAGATGTGTGGCTTGAAAACGTAGATACACATCTGGATTTTGATCTTCCTTTGCTTCCTTCTTCATCAGAGCTCCAGTCACTTACTGTAATGCAAGAATTTTTTGATATGTTGTTATCTATATCTTTCGACTTTGCTGCCATTCTTTGTTCAGGAATGCAAGCGTTTTGTTGCAATGGTTTTAGATTTCTATTATTTCCGGGTATTTGGCCAGCAAGGGATGTTTCTTGAATTTCATTCTCTAGACACCAGGAGACAGTAACAACATTGGACAAAATTGTAACAAACATCTACAAATAATAAATGTTAAAATCCATTTTGTTTTCAGTCAAGGAAATAATAATAGTGTATGCAAATAACATATGGGATTATATACTAGTGCTCTCATATAGAAGAATCCTAATACCAGTAATTAAAAGATGTTAGAGACAATCCATCTCTTCTTAATTGATTTTCTATGGTAAGAAAAAGGAAAATAGTAGTGGGGAAAGGAACAGAGCAAGACTACAAATGGAAAACTGAATTATCTGGCACAATTTTTAAAGATCCATGAAAAAAGCAGCATTACCGCCAAGCAAAAACCTCATTTTTTAAGCTACCTGAGACAGAGTGGAATTGATAGAGGCAATCCAAGAAATGGCTATCTATAAATACAGCAGAATGAAGTACCAGAGAAGACAATATAACATAAGAATGCAGGTATAGATATCAGATTTAATTCTCTTCTAGGTTAATAGAAACAAATATTACCCATACAAGTAAAAGTTAGCCCAGAGTGGGAAAGGACAGATTTTTTTTCCCAGATGAAGTATAACCTTTTCTTAGTTACTGTATTAAATGAGAAATGTTCTAAACTCTACTTTGCAGGTGATGTGGTACAATCCACTCTGCTACATTATTTTCTACATTATGAAGACTAGTCCTGCTTTCACATAATACTGTAACAACTTTCATGTTTAATCATTTTTGATGAATGATGAAAAGTAATTAATTACATGATACCTGCCACAGAAGAATATCTTCTTAGTGCTTGCACTAAGAATAAACATTGGAAACATAGTTTATCAGTGAAGATGTAATAGTTTAAATACTAATTGACAAATTCAATGCTCCTGAACAGGAGTAAGGACATTGATTGTAATGCTGGTTTTATTATTTTAAAAGGTTCGGTAATTAGAATCTATTTCTAGGTCTGCTTGTTTAGAGAACATTGATAATATACTAGCACAATGTTGCAAAATATGACATTTTCCCAATGTTGTGGACAATATAATTATTTAGTAGCATTAACAGGAGGCTGTTTCTCCTGTTAACGTAAGACTTTTTAAAATAGTTGACACAAATAAGAAAGGCAAATTAGAAGTATTCAATTAAAGTGTTGGACTAAGGGACAAGGAGACTCAGGTTATAGTCCAGCCAGGTTCTTTAGTCACAGAGGTTCATTGGCAACCTTGGACTGCTAATCTTCTCAGTTTAGCCTACTGTACTTAACAGGTTTTGTTGTGAGGAAAAATAGACTAGAGTCAGTGGTGGGTTTTCATTATTTTTACTATTGGTTTGCTCATGCACGCGTGCTCCTGCGCATGCACAGAAGCACCCAGGAGGGTGGGCGGAGCCGCCCACCACCACCACTACCCGTTTGCCCGATCCAGGCCGAACCGGAAGTAACCCACCTCTGGCTAGAGTGGTGTATATGCTATCATATACAGTCAAAGGAATGATAGGCTATTAATTAAATGTTTAAATAATCTGGTTAGCATTCCTGCTTTTGATAAAGTACTGCATATCACTCTTTTCCCAAAACAATTCCCCTAGGAACTGAGGGATCTTACTTTTTTCCCCAAGGCATAACTTTTTCTGTGGAAAACCCTTAATTTGCAGGATTAATATAGATTCATTCTGGAGAAAAAGGAATTTTACATATTCAAATCCTAAGCATTTAGGATGAGGACTGTAATCCAAATAGGAATTCGCTTAGAAGAAAGTTCCATTTCAATAAATGGAAATACTCCTTAGTACACCTGCTTAGGATTAAATTGCTAGAATTGCATTCTAGAACTTAAAATACCTTGACTTTTATGGTTTTCGTTAAGATCAACTTGTTTTGAGGCAGAACTGTTTGCATCTTCAGGTTTAGGAACTTGTTGAGGACTTCTTGCTCTGTTTAAGAAGCATCCAAAAGTCAAACTGCTCAGTCGTTGGCCTTCTCCAGGTTTTTGTGACGAAGAAACAGACTTCTTTCCCTGAAGTTCTGTTTAAGTAATAATTTACTTAATAATTAAACAACATTTAATGTGTTTATAACATTAGATTGTTTATTTTATAAGCTGAGAGGCTGAACTTTTAATATTACAAGCAGTTCTCAATTTACGATGGCAATTGAGACTAGAAATGCTAAATGATGTGGTTCTAAAGCATGATGTCACATGATCGTGTCACGTGCTCATGTCATTTAATGATAGCAAGCCCTGCAGTTCTAATTGCTGTTATTAACTGAAACCCACAGTTGTTAGAGGAGGAAGCTTCCTGCTTGCTTCCCACAACCAAAGTCAGTCAGGAAGCCAGCAGAAAGTTGCAAGTCCCAGGCCTGCAAGTGAGTAAAGGTATGTCGGGGTAGTGGTGGTAAAGAAGAGCATGGGGAGGACTGGGGAGGACATACAAGAGTGACAGGGGATACATAAGAGATGCAACTAGAGTTGGGGAGGGAATGCGGCTTGAGTCAGGGAAGATATGTACGGATGTGATGTGAGTCAGGAAGGGTGTAAGAGTTAGTAGGGCGATATGAGTGATGAGCCCAGCGAAGCACAGAGGGGTTGTAGGCAGGTATGTGGGTTGAGGAGACTTACCCAGCAGTTTATTATTTTCTTTGCCAGATTCCCCATTAACTTTCCCCCTAAATCAATGAGTAGACCAGCAGGGAAGGTTGCACATAGTGACCACATGATTGCGGGGCCCTGCAACCGACTGCACATGTAAACTGGTTGTCAATCACTCTGATCGCAATCATTTGACTGTGGCAACTTTGAATGGTCATTGAATAAATGGTCGTAGGTTAGGACTATTTGTAGACAACTCTATGTTTATGATATTTCTGTTTAATACTACGTATCTTCTAAAGTTTAATATTGGTTTCACAGTGTACTTTAACATAGTTTTAGAGAAAAGAGGTAATTGAGAACTAAAGATTGGGTTCACCATAATCTGTAGTTTAGAAACCACAATGACTGGGTCACATAATGCATCAATCCAAAAGCAAACAAAACTCAGTGGAGTAAACCCAAACACTAAATTATTTCAAATGGATATAAAAAAGCCTTTCAGTTTTTATTATCCCTTCATCATCCAGCACATTGCAGACCTCTAGACCACCCTTTAGCAAAACCTTTACAAAGTTATAGATGGTTATACTGTGGAATAATGTTATACCTAGGAATTTCTGGGCACAACTGTTTCCCCTGCCTGTTGTAGTATTGGATACAATCTACAATAAAGACATTCTCAAAGAGTTAACCCCAAGTTCCTTAATTATGGAACACAGCTGTGTTTTGAGAATTTGTACACATACCTTGTAATTTAGTCTGCAACAGCTTAATCTCTTCAGTTTGGTTTTGATTGATCGCACGGAGGTTCTGATTCTCTGTTTCTAGCTGAAAACATAGATAAATGCCCCATTCATAAGTACAGTATTGAAAAAGATTGCATCCAAAGGAAAGCTATACTTTCCTTACATCTCATATGGTATTATTTCCAATCTCACATCCATTTTCCTGGCAATGTTCACCAACTTGGTTGTGCTTACATTTAAGTATATTTACAAATGATTGCAGTGTTAAGCAGTATATTTAACTCAAATAGTTTTGTTATATCTAGGAGTAATGTGAATGAAAGACTATAGAACTCAACCTCAGATCCTATTTCAAAGATCATCTATTTTAAGTAGTTTTTATATTATTATTTTTTAAAGATAAAGTTATCACAATACTTTTTCCCACAGAAACAAAATAAAATGTATTGTGCTTTGTAGACACAATCAACAGAAAAAAAATTGAAAGCACAAATAATAAATCCTCAGTGTAGGCAACTTCGCGTATTTCAAAGCAAAGCATTTTTTCATGTAGGAATTCACAGCCTTAGTCTTGTGAACAACTCCGCAAAAACTTATTGACCAGATAACATAGAACTGGCAGTTATCCACTAATAGATACTAATGAAATAATATAACTTGTCCTGAACATTAAGGTGTCATTTTGTTAGCAAAGGAACTGTGAATTTAGGGTGAAGAAACCCTCACTGCTACAGCAGTTTATAAAAGGAAGGATTACCTACATATTTTATTTACTTCCTACCTCAATGACAAAGTTGTAATAAGTATAAATGTTGGTCATGTTGTCTAGGGCTGCTGAGTGTTGTCGTTCAGCACATGGGGTGACATTATTTCCATATCACTCTTACACTAGAAGAGTTCCATTGGGTTTAAGTGTTGTTATTTATGAAACTTACCTCATGAAGCTTGATAGTCACCCATTCCTTAATCTTAGCTGCTTTTTCTTCTATAATTTTAGCTTCTTGTATTCTGATTTCCTTCTGAAACAGGAAGATGGGCTTTTGTGTAATTTGCATTCTTGTCCATAACAATGCACTTTATTCACTTAAAACAGAAGGCTCAACCTTTTCCAGACTAAGGATTGCATTTAAGCTTTAATTTATTAGTGATTATGTTGCCTCTTTTTGCAAGTAAATGGCCTACAGTAAAAGTGATAAATAACCATAAAATTAATATCAATCATGCAAAGTTAAAACCGTAAGTAGTATTAATAAAATGAGTAAAATACTGCAGTAAAACTGTTGTTACTGATGGACTGATCTTCATTAAAAGGCCTCTTGAAAAGTACAGTTTTCATTATTTTAAATATTGTATTTTTCTGAGTATAAGACACACCTTTCTCCCTCAAAAAAGAAGCTGAAAAACTGGGTGCGTCTTATACACTGAATACAGCATTATTTGCCGCCCGAAACCCCGTCCCCTTCACCAAAATGGCTGTGCATAGCCTTTAGGAGGCTTCCAGAGTGCTCCTGAGGGCTGAGGAGGGCAGAAATGAGCAAAAAAAGGGTAGTTTTTTGCTCAATCCCCNAAGGCTGTTTTCGCCCTCCCCAGGCTCCTATAAAGCCTCTGGAACTTGGGGAAGGCAAAAAAAACCATGCAAAAAATGGGGGGGTCGTGCCTGTCATGTGCGCATGCGTGCTGGGGTGTGTGTCGCACATTACATTATGGGTGCAGTTTGCCCGCGCTCTCCCCGCTTATGGCACGTGAGCCAAAAAAGGTTCGCTATCACTGCACTAGGCTCTCCATGGCCTTCCCCACTCTGAGACACCTCATACACCCAAAAACTGTGCATTAATTAGCAATGCATGGACGAAAGTAGGGAGTGATCATGTTTAAGTTACATGATTCACTCCTACAAATCCTTGGATTGTGAAAGTAATTGGCAGGCTCCATTACATTTGTAACTTGAGGATCTTTTCTATTTCTATTTTACACTACTCCACGCCTGTTACAATAGTTATAATATGGGATTCTGTGAAAACAAATCAAACACTGAGAGGTTATCCTCTTTATTGCCCACTGCACTAAATCAATTATCAGTATTATATTTGAATTGAGCCAATGAGTTATTAAGAGTATTTTCATATAGGGCTATGCTATGATTCAGAAATATTTGGAAAATGTGCTTCAGAGCATGTGGGATTGCAAATGTAGCATCTGTCTGCAAGGTGTCTGCATTTTGTCCAAGGACTATATGTTTTACTCTCTGCACCTGCTATGTAATCCTGGGAAAAGACACAACTGCTTTAAAGAGTTCCAGACAGGAGCTATATTCATGCTTCCATATGCTCCAAAACACCTTTTTGCAATCAATCTGAAGCACTGCACAGCTTTATTTTGTATATTTTTCCTTGACTGGAAAGTAGTAGAATATTATAAAATCAGCCAAAATGTTCTTGGGCAAGGAAATATTTTTTATATTTAATTATTATGATGTATAACACAGGTGTCAAACTTGCTGCATCACATTGCGGTCGCATGATGTATCACAACATTTCCCCCTTCGCTGACCTGGGGTGCGTGTTACGCATCTGGCCCGTGAGCCACCAGTTGGACACTCTTGATCTATAACAATTCTTGCCAATTTGCTTTCCTAAGCTTTGCAATAATGTCCCTAATCACAATACAAAAATTACAATAGAAAATACCAAGCATATGACTATTATCAATCATTTATGACCCAAAAGAATTGAACCGATAAACTTCCTTGCCTAACTGAGCAAGGGCAGTCAAGTGGGCAGTAATTTAGAAGTCTTGCAGAGGACTTAAGATTGACTAAAATTTGAAGAAATGGCCAATAGCATATTTTTATAACGTGGCCTTAAATTGGTTTAAAGACTTATGAAATATAATTAGTTAGAGACAGCCAGGAAGTGACGTACGTGTTGTGCAGAGACTTGATCATTAGCAGCTAAAGTAGCAGAACATAAGTGGGTTCAGCTATTTATGTTTATGGACAATGCATGTACAGTATTAAACACGCAAAACAGATTTCCAAAAAGCAGAGGAAAATATGCCAAAGTTCAACTATTCCAAAACACCCGCTAATTATTAAGCAAACATTTTTCTCTAAATTTAGACCTAAGTTCTTTCCTATAGTTAGCAATATAGTATAAACATGTCCATTCTCTCACTTGTCTTCCAAACCCTGCCTTACAAAAGGTGCCTTTCTTCTGCCATTTTGAGTCTTCTCTTTTAAAAGACAGAAATATCATTTTAACCCATCACTTTTCCAGTTTCCATATGGTGAATAAGTGATATTGTTCTCCTTCAGTGCCAAATTGTTCTCAATGGAAAAAGATAACCTGATGCTAACTAAAATAAACTGCAAGAAAATATGGAGAGTAAGTTTGAGGGAGAAGGAATGCTGAGATTCTTGATTTTTGATTGCATCCATATTTGTTATTTAGCTCGTAAGTCATCAAAGTAAATCTTATTCTAAAACAATTAAACAAAATTATACAAAAATCAACTGAGAAATAAACTTAACATATCCAACCCAGCTGATATACATTAATATTACTGGCAGTTTAAAAACAAAGTTCATGAAAGTCACATATGCAAGCTATTTTCATCCCTGAAGACTGTTATTAAAAGAATTATTTCTAAAGGCCATCCTTTCTGCTTTCTAATTTATCTTAATTCATACAAGCATTATACAATGTAAAACAAAAGAATCATATAATCTTTAGCTTTACAAAATCCATTCCATTCCAATATACTAACAGAAATTATGGCTTCTTCTTTAGATTTATAATAACCCAGCTATTAGGGTATGGCCAGTAATATATGGGTAGGTTCATTTAGTGGCTATAATTTTGACTGGCAACTTGGTTATTAAGCAAAGTGATTGCTAGGTGAAATTGTGACTGTGCTTTTTAAATCTTACTTCAACTTTCCTTTGCTTTACATACATAAATGCAAGGATTGGTTGTAGATTTACTTTTTCATCTCCATTGTAACTACAGGGAACAGGGAAGTCACTAAATGAGAGCTACCTGCATACTGGGTAGGTGTCAGAGGCTATACAATTTATGCCTTTCCGATGAGGCCACCATTTAAAACTAAAAGCATTGCTAGAGATTATTCTCTTCCTATGCATTTATTCTACTATTAATCCTCTTTGGGGAACATCTAAAATCCTATTCAACTTTGTATATAACTTTTTATTAAGGATTTTTATAGAAATTGTAAATAACTAACACAAACTAATTTTTTTTTTAAAAAAGAAAGAATAAAAAGTGCAGGAAAAAATAAAAAGAGAGAAATAATATTTTATAAAACAGACATGACTTCTAATCTTCATTACAACAAGTATAGACAAATTTACTGGCTGTAAGGTTACAAAGAGATATCTTTTCAATTCATATCCCATCCATTATTATAAGAAAATCCATAAAACAATAATTTTTCAATTCTGGTGTCAGCAAAAATTCTGTAAAAGGTTGCCAGAACTTTGAAAATAAGTCTTATTTTAACCTTGATCAAATGAAGCAATTTTAAATTTCTTCTTAATATACTTCTAACAGATTTTTAGTTTAGGTCATTCAAATACTATCATAGTATTTGATTTGTTTTAATTTTTCCTTATTCCATTGCTCAGAATTTTTCAAGGGTTCAACAAACTTTTTGTAGCTCCAATAAGATTTTTTTCCAGGTCATTCTCTTGGTTTTTCATTTGCATTTCCCTTTAAATTTTTAACATTTCAGCCAGTTTCTTTTGTATATCCAATAAAAAGTCATTTTCCAACTCATTCTCTTGGTCTGTCATTTGTACTTCTACTTTTGGTAGACAAAATTTGCACAACATCTGTCATTCTCTCATTGACAGCATTTGGACATATTTTACTCAGGCATTATAGTTGATATTGTAGCTACAATATTTCTTGCTTCATTCTTCAAAGATATAATTTAATATTTCCAATGTTAGAACATTTTGGGTTATTTTGTAAATCCCAGCTAACAGCCCCCCCCCCCAAAAAAAAGTTGGCCTTGTATTTTTTTCCTTGTACTTAGAATCTAGTCCCCTCATGTTTCTAAAATCATAAAGTTGCTTATATTTGTTAAAAGCCAAGAAAACTAAGTCTGTTTTCCATGAGAAGCTANCCCCCCCGCAGCCTCTAAGAGCACTCTATAAGTCTCCTAAAGGCTATCCATGTGCTTAAAAAAAGGGCCATTTTTTGAGAAAAATGGGCAATTTTTGTGAGGTCTGCAGAATGCAAAAAAATTTTTTTTAATTTGCCTCTTCAAAATCTTGGTGCGTCTTATACTCCGGTGCATCTTATACTCCAAAAATATGAGTTTGCTTAATTACAAAATTATGGATTGTCCATTTGAGGAATCTGTTTGGCCATATGATATTAATTCTTTACAGAATCTGTTTTTCCCCTCAACAAGAATTTTGCAGCACAAAAATCTAGGGGTATTACTTTTTTGTAGGCCCCTTCTTTCACTCTTTATCTCTTGTACATACTAATAAATATATTGATAACTGGACAAGAAAAATGTTATTTTCCCAACCTGCTCTACAAGCTGTTGTTCCAGATTCTGGATAGCATCATCTTTCTCTTGAACCAGACTCTCCAGATCTTGGCATCTCTTATATAAGCGTGTTTCTGACTCACTTGTTTGGACATTAGCAGCTTTCAGTTTCTCCTCCATAATCTGCACCTAGAAATTAAAACACAGCTGTGTACACAAAGTCTGTAAAACTCTAAAATTAAATGCATAATTCAGAATGTTGTAATGTTTTATTCTTCTGAGATTAGTTAAAGCATATATACATTCATCAGCCAGTCCTAATCCTAGTTTACTGAAATCTCTAACAATCTGCTATTTTGCTCATATCTTTTATATGAATATGTTATTCCCAGCTGAACAATTGTTCAACCCTATCATTCAAACAACCAGATTTAATGACAAACAAACTGCAGTAAAGACAGTGGCTTGGATCCAGAAGTTCTATTTATACAAGGAAACGTCAAAAAATCCTCATTATCTGTCCATTCTGCTGCTTTTGAGTTTGTTATCCATCATTTCAAGGATCACTTAACCTTCAAGAGCTGTTTTGGGCAGGACGCTGTACTACAAGAGTAGAAAAAAGTCAGGAAACCCCCAGACAAAATGATTTCATACTAAATTTATTTTAATTGCAATACAATATGTAAATACAATAGAATACAATAAATTACAAAACTCTGTAAGTCATACTGATGTCTAATGCAGAATGCTTTTTCTTTTGCATATTTACCCAGGCATTAAGATTAAATGAGATGTTGTTTTAAAGTGATGACACAAGAAATCTTAAGAAAAAACTCATCTATTGCATTTTTTACTTGAGCATGATAAGTCTTAATTGTTTCAGGTTCATGTAAAACTTACAACAGTTCATTTAGTGATTGTTCAAAGTTACAACGGCACTAAAAAAAGTAACATGACCATTTTTCATACTTAAGATCATTGCAGCATTCCCATGGTCATATGATCAAAATCCAGATGCTTGGCAACTGATTCATATTTATGACAATTTCAGTGTGCTGGGGTCATGTGATCCCTATTATAAACCTTTGACAAGCAACATCAATGGGGAAGCCAGATTCACATATGTTACTAACTTAACAACTGAAATGATTCACTTAACAACTATGGCAAGGAAGGTTAAAAAAAGAGTGCAAAACTCACTTAACAACTATCTCACTTAGCAACAGAAATTTTCTGCTCACCTCTGGTCATAAGTTGAGGACTACCTGTGTAATATAAACTGTTTTTGAAGTATTATATCTTACTCTGAATTCTTATAGCAGTGCTAAAAGCAGAATAGAGAAAAATCAAAATATTTACCTGAGTCTCATTGAACCTATGCAACATCTTTCCTCCTACTTGTACATCCTTCCTGAGCCCTGCTATATTTGTGCTACACTACTCCAGTCACTCGTGCACATTTGTGCATCCACTTCTACCTGGAAGCACCCACTCCAAGCCCTGCCATGTTCACACTATGCCTCTCATCTGGCAGCAGCTATCCCATGCTCATGCTGCACATATCTGCCACTACACGCGCAACAGGATATGCTTGTACCACATCTCATTCATCACTTGCACATCTCCCCTGGTCACTCAGACAACCTTGTGCACCCTCCCCCACTCAGCAATAGTCATCTCAAGCCCCACCACACTCAAGCGGTGCATCTCTTTGCTTTCTCTTCTACCCAGAAGTATCCACTTATCTGTCTGACAGTGTGCTTGTGAGCTGCCTGGGTCTTCTGTTGGCTTCCCTAATGGTTTTGATTGTTAGACATTCCAAGACCTTGTGAAAAGGTGCTCGTTTAATGACTTTTGTTAAATTATAGCACCAGGTACTGCAGCAGAGATAGTATTCTGCCAGTTTGGGCAAACCGGCAGCGGCGGGAGGCTCCGCCCACCCACCCAGACGTCATCATGGATGCTCTGTGCTTGCTCAGAAGTGCTGTGTATGCGCTCCTGGTGCTGAACAGGTAGTGAAGATTAGAGCATTTCATGCCTGGACTGCAGGGATTGCTGTCACTAAGATATGTGGTCATGTGATTTCATGCTTTATAACCACATTGCTTAACGATGGTAATTCTGGAACCAATTGCTAATTCAAAAACTACCTGAGTTGTGCACAAACAGCACATAAGGCAATCTTAATCTATAATAAATTCTACTACAATTTAAAACATAGCGAAAGAAGAATGGGACGACAGAGAATGAGGTGGCTGGATGGAATCACTGAAGCAGTTGGTTTGAGCATAAATGGACTCTGAGGGATAGTAGAGGACAGGAAGGCGTGGAAGAATGTTGTCCATGGGGTCGCGTTAGGGTTGGACACGATTTGGCGACTAACACGACCACATTGGAAAATATGATTTGAATTAATGCTGTACTGATTTTTTTTAATGTTCAGCAATCTTTTATTATTGCATTTTGGAGAATTATGAAATTGCATTAATCATTCACCCATTGATGAATGCAAAGGTGTTCTTACATCTATTTGGCACCTTAAGACTATTCTCAAAATTAAATCAATAATTAGCAAAAGCAGACAATAAATTAAGAATGACCAATCAGAAATAACTATTATTAGACGTTTATATCCAATCTGAGAAAAATCTGTGTTTTTTCTATAACAAATCAGACAAAATCAAATATTTTATAGTTGTGTTAAACCCTATGTAAGAAGATATGATACATGTCCATGTAGAGTTATCAAACAAAGATAATTACGATCATAATTGAGCCTAAATTTATAGATGTAAGTCATGCCGGTTGTTAAGTGGGTCATCATGTGACCAATCTGATTTTACTACATTTTTATTTTACAACAATGGTCATTAAATGAAACCACTGTCTGTAATGTACTTTCTTATTCAATCTGCTTTTGGATTATGGATTTCCTGTCTCAGAGAGTCAGATTAGGTAATCATATTTCTTCAGCCCTTATTCTTAACACTGGTGCACCCCAGTGTTACAGTGTTGAGTCCCTTACTCTATACTCTTTATGTGCATGACTGCATTTCCACTCACACTAGTAATACTATTACTAAATTTGCAGATGATACAACAGTGGTGGGACTAATATCTATGGGGGATGGGTCTGCCTATTGAGATGAGATGGAATGGTTGCTTTCATGGTGTGGAGACAATAACTTGGTCCTTAACACCAATAAGACCAAGGAGCTTATAGTGGGCTACAGAAGGAATAGATCAGACAATTGCTTATCAATGGAGACCGAGTGGAGCAAGTGGCCAGTTTTAAGTTTCTGGGTGTTATCATAAAAGAGGACCTTACCTGGGGCACTCATACTGCAGCACTGGTCAAAAGGCCCAACAGAGATTATACTACCTGAGATTTCTCAGGAAACAACAACTGAATGAAAAACTGCTGGTGACCTTCTATCACTGCACCATAGAGAGTATTTTAACTTACTGCATCTGTGTATGGTTTGCCAATTGCACAGTGGCAGATAGGACAGCACTCCAGAGGGTCAATGTCATTGCCCAGAAGATCATTGGTTGCCCTCTCCCCTCTTGGAAGAGCTTTATAGCTCCCACTGCCTTAAGAAAGTTCAAAACATTCTTAAAGATCCATTTCATCCTTTTTTTGAACTCTTACCATCTGGCAGATGGTAAAGGATAATAATAACAAGGACAAATAGGCTGAAAAAAAGCTTGTAATCCAGGGCAATAACCATATTGAATTCTATGGTATAGTGCAATATCGGATTTTCAGTTTCAATTATATAGAAAGTAAAGGATATATGTTTGTGTTTTTACTTTTACAGTTATAACGTACACTGAAGATAACATTTAATTTCATTGTACCATGTGAAATGACAATAAAGTACAGAAAAGTAAAGAAAGGGTTTTTTTTTGCTAGAAACCAAAAGTAAACACCTGTTTCTGACAAAAAAAGTAAATCACAGTAACATAGTTCCTATAAATGTGGATGTTTGCCAAGCACCCAAAATGTAATCACATGACCAATAGGGGCAGCCATTGACATTTTGAAACAGGATAATAAGTATCGTGTTTTTTGGAGTATAAAACACATCTTTTTCCATCAAAAAAGAGATAAAAATCTGGGTGTGCCTTATACACTGAATACAGCATTTTTTGCCTCCTGAAACCCCATCCCCTTCACCAAAATGGTTGTACATAGCCTTTAGGAGGCTTTCAGAGTGCTCCTGAGGGCTGGGGAGGGCAGAAATGAGCGAAAAATAGGCCATTTTTTGCTCAATTTTGCCCCCCCCAGCTCCCAGGAGCACTCTATAAGCCTCCTAAAGGATATTCATGCCCTTTTTTTGACAAAAAACGGACCATTTTTGCTCATTTTTGTACCCCCTCCCCCGGAGCATTCTACAAGACTCCTAAAGGCTATTCATGCCCTTTTTTTTGAAAAAGAAAAAAAATGGGCTCAATTTTACAAAAAATGGGCTGTTTTTGGGAGATCTGCAGAGTGCAAAAACTTTTTTTTAAAAAATTTGCATCTTCAAAATCTTGGTGCGTCTTATACTCCAGTGCATCTTATACTCCGAAAAATACGATACATTTTTGGAATAAATTGTAACTTTGAATTGCTGCCAAGTGATCAGTTATACATCAAGGATTATGTGTATGGCCATACAAATATTATAAACCCTAGACATCAAAATAGTTTATTGTTAATATTATTTTTTAAAAATGCCTGTGAAACTTTTCTGAAAAAGCAGTTTCTGATACTTTCTATTTGAAGTTCCATCTATCTAAAGCACCCTATACTTTATACATATAGCTTCAGAACATTGGTACTATATACAGTATCTCATTACAATCATACCTGTTGAAAAGCCTTTTCTGCTTGATGATCTGCATCAATAACTTGTTTTTCAAGTTGCTGCATCTATATAAAGATATAAAAATATGAGATGCAATCTTTTGTGACAGTTCTCAGTGAAAGTATTACCGTAATAATCATGAATAGGTTTTGTATGGAGTTGAAGGTGTCCAAGGGATTAAACTACACCTCCTAAATAATTCTTAAAACAATATTATATAAAGTATTTATTGCCAACATTTATAGGTAGATGAACGTATACATCAAGGACCACACTAAGTCACCCAGAGCGTAGAATCCATCTAATTTTCACTGCCAAGGAAAGGAACAAGCATAATTTTTAGGAAAGTCCCCCTTTCTGTTCTGTTTATGGAAGCTTTCTAGTGGATTAGACAATTAGTTGAATTCCTTTCAAAAAAGGCTGAGCGAGCTAAGCAACATACGGTATTAAAACTGTCTGTTTAATTTAATAGTGGATGGGGAGAGGGAGAATTCCAGCAGAATTACATTGCGAAAACTTTGTCACAGTTCTGCTTAAAGATCACTCCTTTGTGTTCCTCAAAGCTTTAGGGAAAAAAGTGCTGTTGACAATGGAGGTTCTTAATAGCATTTGTACAAAAAGATAACGTTTGAGGACATCGGTACTAGTATTTACATACTGAAATGCTTCCATTTGTTTTGTCCTTAGCTCAGATTTTAACAAATTTCTTTATTTGGAATTGGGAAGTCGCAGGAGGTCAATGGCACATTTCTGGTATACACAGAGCAGGCATAAGACTACTGGCATACATAGAGTTTTGCTATTATATTTCCAATAATAATCTACAATTACTTGAAATGCATCAAGGGATTATGGGTACAATTTAATCCTGGTGCTGACCAGTTAAGTTTTATATGGCTCGGCTCCTGGTTATGTAAGGGACGATCTTCTCTGGATAGAACTGGAACATATTCTATAAACTGAGAGGAGTGCCTTACATTCCTTCCTTTTGAAAGGGAAGAGGCTTAGGTGCCACAGAAAGCCTTTTCGGCCTCATCACTTTGGAACACCGTGCTTGGCCCAGGATCCAGATGGCCCACACACTGTCCTATCCTCAGGATGACACTAAAGAGTTTTCTTTAGGTAGGCACTCAAAAAATCAGTACAGCATTAATTCAAATCATATCATTAGCCATTTTTAGAATTTGGGATTATTGTAATTGTGGGATTTCACAATTAAATCAAATATACTTAATCAAATTGCAGTTTGATTAAGTGTAAACCTCCTAGAGTCAGGTAATTGAGATGGCATAAAAATATTGCAAAAATAAATAAATTTAAGAAACTGTATCCTAAATCTTAAGGGAAAGGATTTTAGGTTCAACCCAAAACACCCAGACATTGGAGTCTCCAAATATTTGCTATAGCTTACAATTTATTTGGAGAGTCTGCTGGCCTATCGCAAGGCCTTAAAACAGGGTTGTGTCACTGAGGTTGGCATGGCCCATTCAACGGCTGTGCAGATTTTGTTTGTCATTTGTTTAGTTTTTACTTTAGCTGCTGATTACATTTGTATTTGTAGAGGGTAAAGGAAGATGACCTTGACAGAGCTATGCTGGCTATGTTGCTTAGGCAGTCCATGAGATAACATTTCAAAGTAGCTCAGAGAAGAACTGAACGATAAGGAGGAGGAGAAGGAGGTACAGTACAATCAGACTTGCAAAATTCTTTTATAGCCAATCTCAATAAAAACACTTTTAACCTTCCTGTGCAGCTGATTTTCTGGTCTGGTCTACAACCGAGGCTGAGATTAATATTGTTATTGTAATATGTTCTTGTATTTTAAACCACTGTAAACTGCCCACAGTCATGAATTTGAGATAGGCAGCCATACAATATAAATGGAAATAAATAAATAAAAAACCTCAGAGAATCTGGAGATTACATGTTCCTCCTCCTTTCATTAGATTTCCCATGGACACTCTGCATGATTCAGTTTTCCATCCAAGGTTTCAATGTAATCCCAAATTCTGTTATAGAAAAAAATTCACTCCAGTGCCTGTACTTCTCTGAGAATGAGTCATGTAGTTAAACTGCACATTTAGAGTTTAAGGTGGAGAAAAGAAAAATGCCCAAAGCAGGATCCAGCTAAAACATTGAACAAGATACATAGTCAGATAATAGTTCTCAACTGGTTAATAAAAGAAACCTGGGATTAAAGAGTGATTGTGTCAAGTAAATATGTTAAGTAGTTTTGCAGAACCTCAAAGTATGCTTTGCTTAAGTCAGCTTTCTGGCAGCCTGCATAAAACATTTTGTGTAGACTAGAAATATACTTGAATAAACTGCTGTATGCAGTATGCCTACTGCTGTAAAAATAATAATACATACAAAGTGTTCAAACTATGTCCCTCCCCAAAACTCTGACAAAAGTTTTATTATGGATAGTTGCCCTGTCATAGGAACTGACGAATGGGTCTGAACAGGCAGACCTAAAAATTGTTAAAGCTTCTGAGAAGGCGACTTTAAAAGAGTCTGCTGATTCTATTAAAGTAGCTTAATGCCAACAGGTGGATGAAAGTATTTCAAGCTCAAATCCATTTGTGTTCTTTATGCTTAATGCCTCTTCAGCTAATGGATCAAATAAAATCATTGCTAAGTATTATTCTTTAAGTCATGTAATTAACTTCCTAAGCAGAGTTATAAACAGTATCAAGATTTCCAGTTCTGGCCCACCCACCTGATAAATATAATTATTCTATGTTTGTGTGCTCTGGCTTTAGCCCCTTGAACAAAGGAAAACAATAAATATATACTGGTAGACTGCTAAATAATAACTGCTTTTAATAACCAGAGACAGGTATTAAAAATGTACCTCCCTAAATGGAATTATTTATATAGCAGTTAGATCAGAAATACCTGATTTTGAATGATAATTCCAATGTAGAAAGCTGTATGTTTTTATTGTCTTTCTTGACCATCTTTTTCTCCTCATCCTCCTGTGTAAATACCACACGTTATGATTCAGGCTTCTCTTTATTAGTCTGCTTCTAATAATTTCCTAATTACATTTTCATCTTTAATCTTCTCTTGATTTATATTCTTGCTTTGTTTTTCACCAAACCAGCCACATAATCATCTTCCATTTTAAACAAGATAAACTCTTATTCCTATCATTCTCCATGTTCTTTTATGTCCTTGTTTTTTCAACTGGAGAGAACATGGACATTTACAATCTAAAATCACTTCAAAACAGACAAGAAAATAAATTAGATTATGATCAGCTAACAGTTAAATGGCCAATTCACAAAGGTGGCAGACTATATGTGTCACATAAAATTCTACAACATTAAATGTGATGAAGTGGTTTTTGTCTGACAGCAGTACAGAAACATAAAATTGCTCAGATTGATCTGAAAGCACAACCCGAAAGATGTGATGCATTTGTAATAAACCTCTAGAACAGGTATATCAGAGAAAACCACAAGCAGCTGTTTTTGTTTCCTAATCAACAATTGTAGATACATTTCCTATGTAAAATGATTTTAAATCAGCCCTATAGGTCTGCTGAAGGAAGCACATTATATCTCATTTTGTAAACACTCTTGTGTTTTAGAAAATAGAGATGAAAGATCATTTCCTAGTGTGCTTGGAGGCTTATAAACTGTTCTCTGGTTTCCTGATGATGGGCTGTTTTCATTTGCTACCTTAGGGCCACTACAGGCTGCTTAAAATCAGAAAGTTTTGGGTAGCACCTTTTAAAAATACTTTAAAGCAATAAGTATCACCACAGGCATGGAATAACTTGCTTATAACCCAACAAAATAATATTTAATTTGGGAAGAGACCAAGAAAAAACCTCTAGAAGTACAGCCTCTTTCCACTTTGCCTAAAACTACCAAAGAGTATGTGTGAAATCAAACTTGATGTGAACAGCCTTCGCCCGCGCTTCCGCGCCATTTTGGAGCACTCAGCTTGCCGGGCTGCCCCAGTCCCCACCAGGGCTGCAACGGTAGCAGCTTCGGGTGACGCTAGCCTGGGGGGAGGGGGCCGCCCAGCCCAGCAAGCTTTGTAGCCACGTGGCTGCGAAACTTGCAGGGCTGCACCCTCTTCCCTGCCGGACTAGCGTGGCCAGCACACGACGCATCCGGCTTGCGGGCCATGAATTTGACACCCCTGGTCTAGTAATAAGTGCATAGTGAAAAAAATGGGACTAAAACTAAATATAAAAAAAATCAGACAATAGGTACAACAACTAGCCTTAGAATTGATAATCATGATAACAGAGTTATAGATAGCTTCTGCCTTGTAGGATCAACCATCAACAGTAAAGGAAAAAGTAGTCAAGAAATAGATCACAAATTATAGGAAATTGATTTTTTTGAGCCTGTAAAAAAAACTTTTTAAAAGCTTTGCATGTGCACTTTTAATCATTAATTTAATGATTTAAAAGCATGATATGTAATTCCATAATTTTAGTTACCGTAATAAGCAGAAATGAATCAAAAGTAAATTCTTTAGGTTCATTTCACATAGACATTATGGTTTATAAACCATGCTTTATGACAGAATGGTTATCTTTAAAATATTATTATAAAATATATTATATTATTATAAACCAATTTCCGGTTTGCTCGTAGGGTCGTTTTTAGTCCTCCGGAGTCTTCAGGGAAGCCTCCGAAGGCCCCTGAAGGCTCTGGAGGGCTTAAACCAGCCCTACGAAGAAATCAGAAGTCAGTTTCTGGTTTGCCCGTAGGGCTGGTTTTTTGCGTTCCGGAGGCTTCAGGGAAGCTCCTGAAGCCTCTGGAGGGCCTCCTGGGGGGTGGGTGTGTGTGAAAGGCTGTTTTCGCCCTCCCCAGGCTCCTATAAAGCCTCTGGAACTTGGGGAAGGCAAAAAAAACCATGCAAAAAATGGGGGGGTCGTGCCTGTCATGTGCGCATGCATGCTGGGGTGTGTGTCGCACATTACATTATGGGTGCAGTTTGCCCGCGCTCTCCCCGCTTATGGCACGTGAGCCAAAAAAGGTTCGCTATCACTGCACTAGGCTCTCCATGGCCTTCCCCACTCTGAGACACCTCATACACC